GGCCAGGATGATTTTATTTATTTTTTATATTTGTTCTTTTTAGATATACATGACAGTAGAGTGAATTTTTACATATTATACGTACATGGAATATAACTTCCCATTCTTGTGATTGTACATGATGTGGAGATACACTGGCTGTGTACTCATATATGAGCAAAGGAGAGTCCTGATTCATTCTACTATCTTTCCTATTTTCATCCCCACTCCTTTCCCTTCATTCCCCTTTGTCCAATCCAGTGAATTTCTATTCTTTCTATCCCTATCCTCCCTTGTTATGGATTAGCATCCAGATATCAGAGAGAAAATTTGGCCTTTGTTTTTTTGGGGGATTGGTTTATTTCACTTAGCATCATAAGTATCCATCTTCTGTCCATTTACCTGTAAATGCCATAATTTCATTCTTCTTTATCTCTGAGTATTTCATTTGTGTATATATACCACATTTTCTTTATCCATTCATATTAAGAATGATTTTTATTTAAAGACAACTAATCATGATGGTAAATACATATACAAAACACCTGCAGAGCAACACCTAGATTAGTGTTGTGTTGAATAACCAAGCTGACACACAGATCTGTCATGCCTGGTTATGTGGGATCATCTGACATGGCTCAGAGAGGTCTAAAATGTCTTAACTCAAGATTTGAAGAGAAACAGGGGGAAATTGGGGAGGGCAGGATTGTGTGACAGAAAAAAATAAATAAATTTCATGGTCTCTTTTGTGGCAACCTCTCAGTTCCATGGATGGTTCTGCTGTTGGTACTATTTTGCCATGGGAACTCTGGGAATAACTAGAGACATTTAAACTAAAATCCAGTGAAGAGAACTGAGTGACATTAAAAAAAAAAAAAAAAAAAAAAGCATAAAGACAAAAACACAGACTGCAACCTCTCAAAAATAAAAAATACAATTCATTTATTGAAAAGAAAAAGTTCAACACATAATCTATGTGTGCAATCCAAAACAAGATCTTCTACACATTCTGGCAAAATTCATATCTCTACACATACCACGGCGGAAAGACATCTCTGTAGGCACAGATGCAGTTCTGTCTGTCATCCAGACGTTGTGTGTGGTAGTTCTCTTATTCCTCGTGTTCATACGTCCATCAGCTTAGTTTACAACAGTCACCTGATTTCATTGTTCATCAAAAGAAAATTGCTTTCCCGGCATCACCTTGATTTACACCACAGAACACACCTAACAGCAGGTACCTTCCACTGTTTTGCACCTCCTGTCGTCTGATAACTCAGTATCATCACCATTTATGTCCTCTGGCCAGGAATGACTCAGTGGTTTGAAGGAAAAGGAAGTACCCTCAGAGGTGGAGGCTGAGGCTGCCCGAGCAGACAGCCAGCCGGACTAATTGTCTTTGAAGTATTGACCATGATTCTCAAAGCAACCCACATTGCATTATTTTCCTCTAATGGTCTCAGAGATTTGTAATGTACTTTGGAAAATTAAATTCTAAGGCTGACTTGAAGCCGCCCTCGTGATCACCACATCCTGCCATCTCATACTGTCGGTCTCCTGTTGGACAAAGCAGCGCTGATTCCCGCCGGGGGAGACACTGAGGTCTGCCATGCAAGAAAACCACAGGTACAGAGCCCTTGCCAGGCACACAGACTAGAGACCACTGAAACAGACAAAAGGGAGACGCTTCACTTCCGAGAAAGGTGAGGATGTGTAGTGTGAGACATTGATGATACTGGAGGAGAGACAAGTTTGAGAAGCAGAAAGTAAGAGGAGAATAGGGAGAGGAAATGATTTTTCTAATGATTGTTACTACTTGTCACACTGACATTATTACCTTTCCCAGGGGTAGAGAGAGTGAGCAGCAGGCACCTGCCAACGGGTTTGGCTGGAGAGGTGAGACAGGAGAGGGCGGGTCTAAGCTAAGTCATGCGTCCAAGTCACACATCTGGCCAGGGCTTGTGCAGGGGAAGGGCTCCTAGCAGCTGGATAGCAGCATGACGTAAATAATGCCACTTGTGAATGGTGATAACGCCTGGGCGGAGTGAACAGCCAATGCCAGGTTACACTGCTCCCACCAAGTGCCTGCATTTATGGGGGAGGACACTGCCCACCGGGAGCTGTAATCCTGTGCCCAACAGCAGCATTTTAGAGGATTCTGAGAAAGCTACCTGTAGGCTCCTGGAAATCTGGGGATGAACCAAAGAGACGGCAGTAGGAACAGAAACCCCACGGTTTGCTTTTGGTATGTCCAGCATGCACGCTCACACTCGGGAAAACCACGGCTGTGTGATCAGTTTTCTACTTAACTGGGTGCACTCCTGAGGGGCACAGAGCACAGTGAACAGCTGGGAAGCCGGCTCATAGCCAGCATGGGAAGACACAGAAAGGGCTCTGACTCGGCAAGCACTGTGGGCAGCAGAGGAGCTTCTCAGCTGGTCCAGGGCTCCTTGCAGCACAGGAGGAAGGGCTTCCCCCAACCCACCACCTGGCTTTCCTCCTTGCCCATAAGCTGAGCAACTGCACATCGAGGAAGGCCCTGACTGGGTCACCTTGCCTGGGTTTTCTGAAATAGCCATGCAGTCAGGTTGTCAAAGCAACAGGGGCACAAGAAAGAGATGAAGCAGGCACAGGCCATGCCAAATGAGCTCCCATATCCCTACACACTAAGGCCAGCTCTCCTGCTCGCCACACTCTCTAGGCCAGGGGCCTTGAATCAACAGCTCACATGTTGCTACGAGCTGGAGCTGGAGGACCTCAGTACCCTCGGTCCTGCTCTCAGGTCCCAGCATCACAGTCCCAACTGCAGCAATGTCCTGGGCAGGGTTGCTTCTAGCAGCTCTGAGCATACAGAGGCCTCCAATGAGGAAGTTATGGGCAGGACACAAAGTCTGGCCCCTTCACTGGCGTGTACCTGTCCACTGAAAGCAACGCTCAGGACAGCTACAGGAAGATGGGGGGTGGGGGGGGACTGACAGTTGGGCTGCCAGAGCCCAAGTTCGGGAACAGGAAGTGACAGTTTCTGAGCCCACTTTGGTAACTTCTAGAGACCTGAGACATCAGAGGGCAGTGCCTCTGCTAATCCCGTCTGGGACCTTGGTCACATAAGCACCTGTTAGAGACGACCAAAGAGCAGCAAGGGTGGGTTAAAAAGTGTCATTCTCCTAAGGGAGAATAAGTAAACAAAGGTGACATCTTCCTAAGTCATCAGAAGGTAGGCTGGGACATGAGAGGGTCCACTCTTCCCATCGCCCTACCAAGAAGGTCAGGCCTTATCAGCTCGGTTGGCTTTGGAACAGAAGAGAAAGAAAAAGCTGGGCTGGGGGGCGGGGGGGTCGCAGCTCTGACGGGCTTTGGTGAAACACAAAAGCAAATCCCTGATAAATTCTTGCTGTTTTCCCTTAACCAACTTTCAAGCCAAATCATCTCTAGGTAAGCAAGGGCCTGGCAACAGGAATGCAGGAGACACAGAAGCTACTGTGTACACACACACACACACACACACACACACATACACACACACACAGTGGAAGAGCTGGGTAGTTAACAAATGCCCATCTGAAATACTTCACACACCAATAGGAAGGAAGTGGCAGCTCAGAGTGGGGTAACCCATCTCTCTCTGCCCTCCCAAGTTGCTCCCTAATCTGCAGGCTGACTTTGAGGCTGCTCAGGATGCCTGGGAAAGGACAGGGGCAACAGTTAGTGTTCATTGGTTCCTTTCAAGGTCCAGGGCACGGAGGCTGCTGGGGTGAGGCACTGCTTCTGCCCTCCCCCCGTGATTATAAAAAAACCAAGCACCATGCATAGTGTCAGATCATCTGCCTAAATTCTACGAACTTCACAGCTGACTTTGTGCACACTGACCGCAGCCTCCCACCCATGGCGACAGAGTGGGTGTCTTCGCCAGAGGATGGCAAGTGAGCACTGCCATCTCTTTGTCTTGTCAGGGGATGAGATTAAAAGGGGGGCCAAGATGCACTAAGCAACCACAGATAAGCCTCCCTTGACCAAACCCTCCTCCACTTGGCCACGCATGCCTTGGGCCCAGAGCACGCCTGAGTATTTCCCTAACACTCTTGTGTTCAGCACGAGACCAAGCTGACCAATGGGAGGAAAACCCGTGCCTCCCCACGGAGGTACACGTGCAGGCGATCCTGCTTTAAACTCCTCGGGGTGCTCCGCCAAGGGTGTGCTGAGCACCTCAACAGACATTTCCCAAAGCAAGTTTCTTTTCAGCAGGAGGAGCTGACTCAAGAAACAATTGAAGAAGAAACAATTCCTCCTAATAACCCCAGATCCGGAGTCAGATCTTAAAAACCCTCATCTTAAATAAAATATAGATACTGTCCATTTCTACAGCACTGCGTATCTTTTAAGAGTGAAAGCAATGAAGAATATAGTGTTGTGACCTGTGTGGAAGAACTCAGAGAAGGTGTGGCCCCAGGGTCCCAGCAAGCCAGAGAGGGAAAAGATTAAAAACCCTCCAGTGTGGGGTCTGGCTTAGAAGCACTAGGTAGATCCAGATACCCCCTGGAGACTTAAATAGGTAGAATACTGAGGTATGATTTTAGGAAAGAGATTAGAAAGAGGCCTGGCTTTATAAAGAGGGGAGGCTCCCACTTACTGAATCTGGGTCTGGCCTGGGACAGGAGGAAACAGCAGGTACGGGGTACTAAAATTGTTAAAGTGAGCTGTGCAACGGGGAGAATCTGGGCGAGGTTCTAAGAGCGAGGGCATGAGGAGGGGAAGAACTGAAAGTTCCGGGTTAAAATAGGTACAAATGAGCTGTCATAGAGCTGTCACTAGTGCACCTCCCAGGTGTCTCCCTGCCCCGCCCCCACCCCCAGTCTTACCCAGGCCAGGGCACCCAGATGCCACGTAGAAGGGTACCCAGACAGAGCCTGCATTTCCCAGAGGCTGACCACATCAAGGCTCTGGGGACAGTTACTGGGGGCACACACAGGGGTGGGGGGGTAGGCAGGTGCAGAGAAGGCACCCAGATCACTATACAGAGGCACTGGTGGAGTTGATGGAGATGGGAGCACTGCTTGGCTGGATCAGCTCACTAAGGGCCTGGTAAGTCCCCGCCACAAAGCCCACAAAGCCCAGGATGCTGATGAGGGCATCCTTGGCGATGGTGAGGGGGTTCATGCCCTCTGAGTAGTAGGTGGTGATCTCCAGCAACGGGGGGATGATGAGGGCCAGGGCGCTGCTGCTCACGGAGCCCACCAGGGAGATGACCAGGTCCAGGCGGGGGACGAGGATGGCCAAGATGCCTGTAGGGAGAGAGCACATGCCTGTTCACAACTGCTCAGGGCGGGGAGAGAGGCTCTCACTGATCAACCATGTCGCCAGCATCTGTCCATGTTCTGGAATGGAGAGCGCTAAGAAAGCTTAGACACCACCCGATTCAAATCTCTCGTTCCAGAGATAAGCAAGCGAAAGCCCACAGGTGTGGAACCCCCAGCGTCTCCTGGCTCAGCATACTTGCCTTCTCTGGGGTCTGGTTCTCCGTGTGCGTAGTGACAACATCATGGTGATGGCTCCACTTGACCCAATGGGATAGAAACAACACCAGAGCAGCAGTCAGGGGAACCGAGCCCACGGAGTGGGTGGTAGGAGAACGTGGTTTGGAGCGCAGGCTCTGGACTCAGAATGCTCCCAGCCCAGCCCCCGCACTAGATAGCTCATTACTTCCTCTTTTCCCAACAGCTAAATCAGGACTTTAGAATGCGATCCCTGGTGTAAAAAAACTCAGAGCACTAAAAGTGCATAATCAATGCTTATGTGTTTGCTAACTTCACCACCAGGCCCTGCTTATAATAAGCCATATGGTTTGAGCCTCAATTTGTTTACAGATGAAATAAGGTGACTATTTATCCTGGATGACAGCGAAAGTCTCACCTGACTCAGAAGTTTTAAGAGGCCGTACATTCTAGTTTGGGCTCCTTGGAGTATTCTGGGATGCTTCCCCAGCACTCTGACAGCCGGGAAGCCCCGTGTGCAGCCCAAGAGGGCACAGTGCAGCAGCAGCATTCCCTTCCCATGGCTGTGCCACAAAGAGCAGCTCCCAGCCCACTGGTTTTAATCCCAACAGAAGGTGTGTGAGTGATTGCTCAAGTGCCAGCCACGTGAGTGTTTCCACTGACACACAAGCCCCTGAGAGGATGGAGAACTCTGTCATCAGGAGAAAGAGCTCCTGGCAGGAGACAAGTGGAGACCTGCCCCCAAATCGGAGGAACCGACAGTCTCGCCCTGTAACCTGGGTGGACGTCTGAACTTATGGTGGAGGAGGTAAGTGCAGCCAGACATACGCTGCACTTGGTGAAAACACTTAGAGGAAACAGGAACGGAAGCTTGTAGGGTCACAATCAGTTCTCAGTTGAACAGAGATCTATCTTCCTTCCACTTCATCATATGTCATAAGCAATCTCAGAACTGGTTCTTGCCTTCACTACAAAGTCACTATGCAAGACAAGCATTCATAATATTATCAATAGAGATTTTAAAGAGGGCACACATTTCTCCTAAAGTTAGGGCTGCAGAGGGGAAGTCCTACTTCCTGTCTTAGCTGGACCACATGCCTCCTCCAGACCTCAATAAAGCCCAACACTGGAGAAGATAAGGAGGTAGGGAGGTTGAAGAGTGAGCTTCTCAATAACAGGAAAAAGGAAGAGAAGCAATACTCAGCCCTGGGTTCCAGAGCAGGCATGTGTTTTGCTACCAAGCAAAATGGCTTTCATCCCAGGATAGCAACCAACCACTTAGGGAAGATATGGGGCAACTGAGACCCCTCCAGGCACTAAATATCTTCATTCTGTGAGTTAAACCCTCCTAGAAAGAGGAAATCAGGAGAGATCTCAGGAAGCAGCAGCCTGGGAACACCCTGCCTCCCCACTCTTCCCTATACTCCCCCAAACCTCCTCCCAAACAAAGAGGGAGAAAGTGTTTTCCCTACCCCGGCTACTGGCTCTTGGCAGCAGCCTAGCTGTGGCCTCCACGGAAAGAGGCACTGAGGAGAACCTAAAACTAGATCACGTGGTGAGTCAAGAGACTGCGCTATTACACAACTGTGGCTTCAGACGCTAACAATGTGATCCTGCAACCACCGAAGCTCCATGAGGCAAACAGCCAGGCTCAGAAAAGGAGCTGACTGGAGCCTGTGGCTTTGGACCACATTAGAAAGGGCTGATTCATACCCAAGGGAAGAGCAAAGCACTTCGAAGGACAAACTCGGAACTACAGAACGACTGGGACTCTCCCGGCTCCCGCGGCAGGAAGCTCTTGCAGCTGCTCTTAAGATCAATGTTTGGGTATGATTGCACGAAGGGTGTGACTCTACATCATGCACAACCAGAGAAATGAAAAGTCGTGCTCCTTTTGTGTACAAAAATTAAATAAAATGAAAAAAAAATCAATGTTTGGTGAAATCCACCAGATTAATTTTTACTACTTTTTAAATTTAATTAAGTCATTATTTTATTAAGGTCAAGGGATTTGTCATCATTCTACAATCATGGATATACTGATTTTTCCCCCCATATTTTTTATTGGTACATTATAATTATATATAAAGTGGGATTTGTTGTTATACATTTGTACATGCACATGGCACTACAATATAATTTGGTCAGTATTGTTACCCATTGTTCTTTTAAATGTCTAGAAATATGCCTTCAAAATAGCAATAATCTTGAGCAGATATAAAATTTCATTTAGTACATAAAAGCAAGAGAAACAGCTGGGTGCGGTGGTGCACGCCTATAATCCCAGTGACTTGGGAGGCTGAGGCAGGAGGAGTGTGAGTTCAAAGCTAGCCTCAGCAAAAGTGAGGCTCTAAGCAACTCAGTGAAACCCTGTCTATACATAAAAATACAAAATAAGGCGGGGGATGTGGCTCAGTGGCCAAGTGCCCCTGAATTCAATCCCTGGTACACTCCTCCCCCCCAAAAAAGGCAAGAGAAACTACCTATATGTCTAATACTAAAGTAATAGTTTAAATAGAATCTACCAAAAGAATGGAAAATTGAATCCCTTTCTCTTGCCATGTACAAAAGTTAACTCAAAATGGATCAAGGAGCTAGATATCAAACCAGAAACTCTGCGTCTGATAGAAGAAAAAGTTGGCTCTAATCTCCATCTCGTGGGGTCGGGCTCCAAATTCCTTAATAGGACACCTATAGCACAAGAGTTAAAATCAAGAATCAATAAATGGGACTAAACTAAAAAGTTTTTTCTCAGCAAGAGAAACAATAAGAGAGGTAAATAGGGAGCCTACATCCTGGGAACAAATTTTTATTCCTCACACTTCAGATAGAGCCCTAATATCCAGAGTATACAAAGAAATCAAAAAAATTAAACAATAAGAAAACAACCCAATCAACAAATGGGCCAAGGACCTGAACAGACACTTCTCAGAGAGGGATATACAATTAATCAACAAATACACGAAAAAATGCTCACCATCTCTAGCAATCAGAGAAATGCAAATTAAAACCACTCTAAGATACCATCTCACTCCAGTAAGAATGGCAGCCATTATGAAGTCAGACAACAACAAGTACTGGCGAGGATGTGGGGAAAAGGGTACACTTGTACATTGCTGGTGGGACTGCAAATTGGTGCAGCCAATCTGGAAAGCAGTATGGAGATTCCTGGGAAAGCTGGGAATGGAACCACCATTCGACCCAGCTATTCCCCTTCTCGGACTATTCCCCAAAGACCTAAAAAGAGCATACTATAGGGATACAGCTACATCAATGTTCATAGCAGCACAATTCACAATAGCTAGACTGTGGAACCAACCCAGATGCCCTTCAATAGATGAATGGATAAAAAAAAATGTGGCATTTATACACAATGGAATATTACTCAGCACTAAAAAAAAATCATGGCATTTGCAGGGAAATGGATGGCATTAGAGCAGATTATGCTAAGTGAAGCTAGCTAATCCCTAAAAAACAAATTCCGAATGTCTTCTTTGATATAAGGAGGGCAACTCAAAACAGAGCAGGGAGGAAGAGCATGAGAAGATTAGCATTAAACAGGGAGGGACGAGAGGTGGGAGGGAATGGGGGAGAAAAGGGAAATTGCATGGAAATGGAAGGAGAACCTCATTGTTATACAAAATTACACATAAGAGGATGTGAGGGGAAAGGGAAAAAAAAGAGAGAAATGAATTATAGTAGATGGGGTAGAGAGAGGTGATGGGAGGGGAAGGGAGAGGAGGGGGGGATAGGAAGGGGATAGGAAAGGCAGCAGAATACAGCAGACACTAGTATGGCAGTATGTATAAATGTGGATGATAATCAATGTGATCCTGCAATCTGTACACGGGGTAAAAATGGGAGTTCATAACCCACTTGATTCAAATGTATGAAATATGTCAAGAGCATTGTAATGTTTTGAGCAACCAATAAAAAAATTAAAAAAAGAATGGAATATATAGTAAAGTCATGAAAATATAAAGAGCATGCATATTCATGATATAATATTAAACAAAATGGGAAAAACCGTTATGTGTGCACTATGATTACAACTATTTTTACCATGTACCTGTGAGGGTTAAGACAAACCAGATAAAAGTGCAAAATAAAAATCATTTTTGTTAAGCCAGTGGTATATTGAGAACTTTTTTCCCTTCAAATGGCTTTATATTAACTTTCATTTTTTAGAGCAATGTTTTTGTGGAAATTTAATCAAGTCAAGCATAAACTACTATAGAGAATCACAGAACTTGGAGTTGAGAGAGACCTCAGAGATCAGACCTCTTCCTATCTCACAGTTGAGGAATCTGAGGCCTCCGTGAGGGGCCCTGGGAGGTTCCCCATAGCTGCACAGCTCATTCAGGATGCCCTTCTTCACTGTAGCTGCAAGACGGTGAAGTGTGAAAGGCCAAAGACCTCGAGAAGCCACTCTGCACCTAGACACTATGTGCTCTGGAAGGTCTCGCTGCCCGGGATGTTTTGTGTCTGTGGGTCTCAGGCTGAGCAGGCCTCATAACTGATATCGTTTTATGTTATTACATCTTCTATGGTAGGTTTCTGAAAATCTCATCCCTAACTGAAGTAATATCTTTCACATGGCAAACGCCACCGAGATTTCAGACCAAGGATAGAAGGACGGGTTAGTGCCTGAGGGATCCAAAGGAAGAATTTCTCCTTCACCTCCAGACTCTCAGGTGCTCCGGACATAAGGTGACCCGCTGAGTCTGCATTTCTGACTTTGGAGTTCAACTTTCTCATCACATCCCCCACCCCACAAGGATGAACAGTCATGACTACTTTTAACACTTAAAGTTGGACCAAAGTCCCCTCTGCCCAGGACCCCTGGGAAATAGAGGATGAGGTAAAGGAGGAAAAGTTGAGAAAATTCTGGGAAACACCAGAGATGGCAAGAAAATAAGCTGCCACTTAAAGGTCTGGTTATAATTGAAAACAATCAGTTACATCAAAGACCTAAAATCCTCTACCAGTCAGCCTGTGCCAGAAGATCTGAAAGAACTGAGAAGCAAGAACAAAAGGAGCTCTCATCAACACGAAAGGCCTCTACCAATTCCCACAATTACTTCAAAGTCTCCAGGGAAGGTAAGAGAAGCCGGAGTGCTGTGGGCTCTGCTGGGCTGCCTGCTTTAAAAGGATGGCAGTGCCCTGCTAATCACAGCAGATCACAGGAGAAGGGCAAAGAGGGCAGGCACTCCAAGATCAAATGCAGCCTGTGGCCTTTGAGCATTGTTCTGTAAAGGGGAGGGGAGCCACACAGAGCAGGGACAAGTAGAGCAAAAACCCAGGAGTCATCTAAGGACTGCAGGAGGCCTATGAATCAGGACTCCTGCCTCCTGCAGGGTGTAGTGGAAACAAACCTGGTGGGGAGCCAGACACAGGCTTCGGGGAGGCCAAGCCAGGCTTGAGAAGAAAGTGGGACAGTGGGGGGGGGGGGCGGGAATCTGGGCCAGTGTCACCACCTGGCCCTCCAGGGCAGGGGGAAGGAGCTGCGTGGTCAGTTATAGCACATTTTACATAGACAGACCTACTTCTTCTACAGGAACCACTTTGAAAAAAGGCAAGTGATTTAAACTATTCCCATCTTTTTTTCCCAATGCCCTTTATATTTAAGAATCAGGCCTTCAGAGCTGATATTAGAGGTTACTGCATACATGGAATGTGTCTCCTCAACACCTGAAGCTCATATCCATCCATGGAAAAAAACCCTATACATCTAAATCAAAGCACAAGAGCTGCTGGCAGAAGCCAGGATTGAAATCCACATGCAAGATGACTATCTTACCATCACCCGTTCGGGCAACAGCTGGAAAAGCAACACATGTCAGTGGCTCTGTGCCCTGGAGTAGCTGTTCCCAGACACTGCTCTAGGAGATGTCCAGATAAGAGGCAGAGTAGAAGCCAGGTTCCTGGATGCTCCGTAGGACTGGTGAGTCCAAGTTGTCCAGCCTCTGCCCTGCTCCTACCTAGACCTACTCTGCAAGAAATCCTAAGGAGAGCTGCCCGTGATTAAATCAGAAGGTCAGGCATAGGCCTTTATCTTCTTAGTCCTAGACAGTTCTTTCCACACAGAGACTTAGGATGCTAGGCTTCCATCCTCTGTCTTTGAAGAACAACAATGGCGGGGTCTGCAGGTGGCCCAAAAAATTCATTATGGGACACATATAAGTCCAGTCCTCACATCTGCGTGGGTAGATGAACGGAATGGATAGCCTCTTGCTTGACTTTCCCTTGGTAATAGACCACCAATCAAGTCAAATGCTAGACAACATTCACATCTTTCATCTTTAAAATATTCAACTATGGGTCACCTAAAACATCATACAGACCTATCCTTATTTCAAAGACAAAGAACCTGACTGAATAATTTAAGAAAATTCCGAGGAAAGTCCCAATATAATATACAAAAATGTTCTTGTTCCAATAAAACAAGAAAAAAAGCCATATATAGCCAAAAAAGATAAAGTAATGCTTTAAGCATTTTAATTTAGAAAACAATGGCAAATCTCCTAGAAATTTAAGTTAGATATTATGAATCAATTTGTTCAGGGGTTCCATAGCCTATCAATTCACAGAAGTTCCCCCCAAAATTTTATTATTTTAAATTTACTCAGTTTTCAACTAACAGCAAATAAGGGGATATCATCTTAAATCATACCCCTTGTCACAGGGGAAGGGGAATAAAACAACTAGATTAATGGATACACATTGTCTAAGAAACTTATTAGACTGACATTCAAAAATGCCCAGAATTGTATAATCCCAGCTCAGAATGAAAAACTATGAGAAAAAATAAGCATGCACCTTCTGTGTAGGTGACCTGACCTCATCATGGATGTAGGCCAAGTGGCTCTCTCTAGGATAATTTACCTTAGTTTATGTGGAAGAGTGATGACATGTCTTTACTGAGTTACTACCGTCCCTGCAGCATTTCATTCCACATCTATAAACAACTGTCCTCATTCCAGAGTCCTTGAGAGCACACACTAAGCCCACCCCCTTCACCATCTGGATGTGCCCTGACTCCGAGTGAGGTGTGTGCCGGGTATTCTGCCCACGGTACAGGTGGCCTCACGACAATACACACACCCTCTTCCCCCATGTAAGCCCTCTGGGAAAAACAAGCAGTTATCTTTCCTTCTACTCACACGTCAGGCAGACCATCACCGTGCGCACGAACAGGTCCACCACCAACTCGCAGTGCTCAGGCGCTCGGGACACAAAGAAGGGGATGATGATCTCAGCCGGGACGTAGAACTGGAGCGCGTAGGTGAAGAAGATGCCAATGGAGTAGAGCAGCTTAACAGACTGGTACAACCTGCAGAGGGAGCGGGGTACCTTCAGAAGCCTGCTCAGCACGCCTAGACATCATCAGAGGGAAGGCAAAAGAGTCCTACGGCAACCTGGGGACACCTGTTCAGGTCACACACACACATGTCCTTTAGGCCCAGCAATTTCACCCCTAGGAATTTATCTCACAAAGGCACTTGTAACATGTGCACAAAAGGTGCATTCAAAATATGGCACAGCAATGTTATTTAAGAATGGAAAACTGAAAACGATTGAATGTTAATCATTGAAGAACTGGTTAAATAACTTGGCCCCATGAAGCTCTTAAAAAGTATAAGGCAGTGCGCCAGGTGCTGATGCAGAACTATCTCCACTGTGTGCTACAGCTTGATGCAGTCCAGTGTCTACCAAGCGCTATAATTTGTTTCAGAAAAAAAAAAAAAAAAAAAAGGAGAACCCCACCAACAGCCACACCCTGGGACATTCTCATGTACACTAAACACCTGGAAGAAAACACAAGAGGGTGGAGTATGGCTGCCGCTGAAATTATAGCACTGTCTTCTAGGGATGGGGGTGGTAAAACTTAATATTCTTTATATACATTTTGCACATTTGTAACCTTCACCATGCACAGACAGATATATATATCCTTCCAAAATTAAAAATGACTTAAAATATAATAAGCCTATTTATATCCTTCCCACCCAGTTCAGTGCTCCCTAGAATCAGATAGTGGCCATATAGGGATCTACAGGCAGGTGCAGAATCGTTTCCACCCCACCCTGGCTACCTTTCTACCATGTCTTTACAAGTAGCTGCCTGTGGAGGCCATTAACTCACCCTAGGATATCCCCCAACTTACCACCCCAGGGTCCTCTCATGCAGGGTAGAACAAAGTGCTTATGGCTCTGATTCAATCATTCAAGGGAAGGGCACTCTGCCCTGAGCAAAGCTCCACTTTCAACAATACTGTCAGGTGTTAAGCAGGGATAGGCATTTGGCCTCCCCTGTTGGGGATCTAGCTAAATGTGCTCATAAATTATGTGTTGGACTGAACACCTAGATGACATTCTACGCTATGAGTGGGAGAACCCCTGGGGAGAGACTGAATTTAGAAAAAGTCTCACTTGCTCCAGGGTAATACAATTTCTTGGAAAAACCAGCTGGTGGCTCTATAGCTAAACTCAAAGCAGCACCAAAGCCCCCAGAGATGCAAAGTCTGGAGTCAGGAGAGTCCCATGCAGGGGAAGCTACATGCATCAACCCAGGGTGGGTGGAGAGATGACAGCAGCTGGGTTTGGGTGTCAAAGGGAAAATGAACACTGACAGGTGTTCCCCGAGGTTTCAGGTGATCTGGCTGCTTCTGCTGATCCTGATCTTCTTGTCTCCCAGGGAAAGGTGACATGGTTACGCCAAGCTACCACCTGACTCTTCTCTATTGAAAGCACAGGCACATTGGAAATTTAAAAGAGGAATAGAAGAAGAAAGACTTTCTGAAAACAATGGTCCGTTGCCCAGCTACTATTCGGCTGGCTGTGCAACATACTTAATCCTCAGACTTCTGATCAGGGCATCCTGTATTACATGCTAATGCTACTGAGTATATATTTTCCTCAATTTTCTCCATCTGTTCTTGTCCAAAGACTCACCAATCAGAGTTGCAATATGCACACACAGGCAGGCAGATCAGGCAGGCTGGACTGAAAGGTTAGTTTTATTCCTTGGGGCCCTAACAAGCTTCTCAGAGTCTACAAGCCTCTGTTCTCCATAACGAGATTTTCATCTTCCAAACAGAATTACTGCTCAGCACACACGCTGTGACATCTAAGCATTTCAATATGTCTCAGTGTTTTTCTACAATACATCCACTAATGAAAGATGAAAAATCTCCAGGAAACCGGGATCCAAAGCAAGATGCTCCCACATGGAGGCATGGCAGAAGCCAGTAGTGAAACAGACTGGCCCTCCTCTTTTGCTTAAGGTGAACAGGATGGACGCTTGGTCCTTCTAGGTTCAGGATTTCCTAGGAGAAATGACTTGTCAATCAGCTGATCAACACATGGATTTGTATAAGTCTCCATAGGAATGACTCACCCAAATAATCATGCATTCAGCTCAGCCAAGGAGCGATGTATCCAACCAAGACCGATTTAAGAGATAAGAGGAAGAACACACCTTCTGATCCACTAATTTTATAAAACATCTTGTGCTTCCAGGTTTCCATCCCCCGCCACATACCAGCAGTTGGGCAGGTTGAGGGTGATGCTGCCTTGGATATCAGCTCCAAATTGCAGGTACCCGAGGCATCCCAGGGTGATGTAGAGGCCAGTGACGATGCCCATCCCCAAGTATAGGATGAGTGGAAATTTCTGAGGATCCTTCATTTTGTTTTCAAGGGGCAGCACCTATGAGACAACAGTAAGAGAAGAGAGAAAGCACAGGAAAAAGTAAAATTAACAACCAATAAAAATATTATCATCAGAAAAAAGGAAGTTCTTTATCCCCAGAATTCCCTAAAAGCCCAACTATCCTTTACTAGACAGACAACTCAACCAAAGTGATTTCTTCGTAAGTTACACTCTTGGGACTACAAGAGGCTCCATCATCTCCATAGAAGTCCTGAGAGGTAAGGGTGGGTAGGAAAAGAACCAGGCCAGCTCTGTCGTCCTGCAGCAGGACCCCTCAGGCAGGGAGGACCATTCCCCTGAGTGCAGGTGTGGTCCCGAGCAGCCCCCCCTTACCTGACTGACATCACAGCTTCTTGCTAACCTGTCTCAAAAGGTGAATCACAGGTCAAAGAAAATGGCCAGGGTAGTTCTCAGCAACAAATTCCCTACCTCAACAGGGGCAGGGACAGTGGTGACAACTTAAGCCTCCAAGTTAAAGGAGCTGAGATGCTGGACACAGCTTGACCAACAGAGGATCTTGAGACTCAGGTGCTTAACTGGGCCCAGTTTCCAGGTTCCTGTTTCAAACCACTGATGCTCGCTGCCTCCTTAGTCCTGTCAGGGCATGTTCTTTAACACCGGGGGAAGCAAAGGCTCCTTAGAAGGGAGACCTCATTTAGGAACTGAGGGGATGGAGGGTAGCAGGTATGATGTGACATCTTCACAACCTGCTACCAACTAGGTCTGGAGCCATGATGGGGAAAATCAGTGTGGGCAATGACCAACTGCCCCACCAACTACCTCTGACCTTGTCATGATGCTCATTTTCCTGCAGTGCCCGTGGCCATGAGGCATAATAGGTCTGTGCTGTCTACACCTGACACCACTGCTCAGGCCCCATGCTGCAGCTCTGCACCCTTCTGGGCCTTGGCATCCCCATGGCCAGCTGCAGCATCTCAAGCCCCAGCTGATCCACATCCAATTTGAAACAGCTTCCCAACTTGTGTGTTTTCCTTCGTGCCAGAGTACCAAGAGCCTCTGGGCAGGGAACCATCAGGCCTGGGTCAGTCATGAAAGCATACTGAACACACAGGTGCTTTACCTGCCACCCTGAGCAACCCTTCAATCCAGATAAAGAGCCCAGATAGCAGTGTTAGCTCTCTAACAATGGAAAATACAAAGTAAACTTGAAGTGTGGGATAATGATGTCTCCAGAGTGACTCTGTATCCAAGCCGTGGCTAATGATATAAAGCAAAGAACCGTCTCTACACTGTGCTGCTAGGAGAACTGATTAAAATTTGGTAGCACATTCCTTAAGAACCACTGACCCTGGGCATCTTTCCATACCCTCTCAAACTCTCCTTTCAAGTCCTGAGTTCTTGGGGCCACTTTTACACTGATAAAATATGGGCCCACTTGGGACTCTGACCAGCAGCTGGAAAGCACTTATGTTCCTGAATCAAGGTGAGAAAGTCCTCCCGGGCCCCAGGAAAGAGCCCAGGGGAAGGTTTAAAACCTCAGGACAATTGTGTTTTACACACAGTCACTCACAGTCTCCCCCTGGGTCAGATCCTTAAATACATTCCATCAAAATCGCTGGGGCGAGTCCTCAGTATTTTGACTAAAAAAAATTGGCTTCTAGTTTTTTAAAAAGTGAATAAGTGGTAGGGATTTCAAATTGGGAGAGAAAGGAATGCTAGGAAAGGGAAGTGTCTTCTCATTTTCAATGCTTTGGTCAGTAGAGCTCATTAGTTACTTCGGAGAGGAATCCTGGGCCTTTATTATGAAAAATACAAATAAATTAGGTACAGCTGAGTGGCAGATCCACTTTAGGTAAAGAAATCTGGTAAAACCATAGCAATGACAGGAGGAGCCTGGGCCATGAGTGAAGACTACTTACTCATTTGCACATAAAAAATATACTGCATCAATGTGCCCGGGCAGATGACTTATTCATAGATTTATTGATTCAATAATATTGTTGGTAAAATAAAAATTTATTGAATGGTTATTATCATATATGTCAGGGACTATACAAAGCACTGAAAACATATCAATAAAACTTTTTAATTGGTGCATATTAATTATTTAGGGTCTCAACTGTGGCATATTTGGACATGCGTATGACATAATTTGACCAATTCCACTCCCCAGTACCTCCCCTGGTCCATCCCTCCTTCCTCATGATCCCTTTTCTCTTCCTAAGAGTTTCCCCTCTATCTTCATGAGACCCTTTATCCCCTTTTTTCTCTCTAGCTTTCCCATGACAGAAAACACACAACACTTGTATTTTTGAGTCTGGATTATTCCACTTGAAATAATGCTATCAAGTTCCATTGATTTTCCTGAAAATGATATGATTTCATCCTTTACGGACGAATACAGCTTCTTTATCCATCCATCTGATAATGAAAACCCTGGATGGTTCCACAACTTGGCTATTGTGAATTGTGCTGCTATAAACATGAGATGCCATGTGAACTCTAAAGTACTGTCTTTATCTTTCAGATAGATACCGAGGATCGGTAGAGCTGAATCATAAAGTTCTTTAGTTTTTTGAAAAACCCTGATACTGATTTCCATAGTGGCCATACTGATTTACATCCTCATGGACAGGGTATAAGTGTTCCCTTCTCCCTGCTTCCCTGTCAACATTTATTGTTATTTGTGTTTTTGATGGTTGCCATTCTTACTGGAGTAAAACAGAATCACAGTGCAGTTAGTTTTCCTTTCCACATTTTTTATCAGTGCATTATAGTTGTACATAATGATGAGATTTGTTGTTACATATTTGTATATGCACATAATATAACAATACATTTGGGCCAATATCACTCCCCAGCACTCCCCCGCCCCCAGTCCCTTCTACTGATCTTCCTTTGATTTTCATGAGATCATCACCCACCACCACCACCACTTTTCTTTTCCTTTTCCTTCCCTGGCTTCTACATGTGAAAAAAAGCATTTGGCACGTGACCTTCTGATTTTGGCTTATTTCACTTAACATATAGTCTCTACTTCCATTCATTTTCCTGCAAATGACATAATTTCATCTTTCTTTATGGCCGAATTGTGTACATATACCACACTTTCTTTATCCATTCATCCGTTGATGTACACCTTGCCTGATTCCATGGTTAAATTACTATGAATTGTGCTGCTATATAGATGGGTATACATGGATCATTGTAGTGTGATGACTTTAATCCTTCAGTATAAACACCAAGGAGTGGTATAACTGGGTCATATGGTGATTCCAAGCCTAGTCTTTTGAGGAACCTCCATACTGATTTCCATAGTGGTTGTACTAATTTACAATCTCACCAACAGAGTAAAAGTGTTCCTTTTTCTCGACATCCTCTCCAGCATTTATTATTTGTAGTCTTGATGACTGCCATTCTGATTGGTGTGAGATCAAATCTCAGTATAGTTTTGATTTGCATTTCCCTAACTACTAACAAAGTTGAACATTTTTAAAATATATTTGTTGACCATTTGCATTTCTTCTTTTGAGAAGTGTGTTTAGTTCATCTGTCCATTAATTGAGGGTTTGTTTTTTTTTTTTTTTTTTGGTGTTAAGTCTATTGAATTCTTTATATTTTCTAGATAATAATCCTCTGTCAGAAGAGTAGGTAGCTTTACAGCAGACAGTGAGGTCACCAAGCTCAACAGGGAACCCTCAGGCCCAACCACAGCACAACTCTTACCATTCCGATGCCTTCAAATGCAAAGATGGCCGTGCCAAAGAAGAGAGGGTAGGTTTTCCAGGATGCCACCAAGGGGAGGTTTCTGGGGTCAGGGATTTTCTGAAAGAGACAAACAAACAAAGCAAAAGGCTATATGACAGAGATTGAAGATTTGAACTACAAATCAGAGAAGTCAGGCCTTTTCTGAAATTCAAGATTCTCCAAAGGGAGAAAGTCTGATATCTGACAGACGATTTGGGGACATTTAGCCCAGTTGTATTTTTTTCTCTTCAAGCTGGGAAAACCCTAAATTGCTTTGGGGGATGACTAGTTCAATGTACCATAAGACATTGAAATGCTGGGGCTTGCATAAAGAGAGTCACATTCTTTCACTGGGTAATCCTATCCCCAGAAATTTAATGCATGAAGAAAAGAAAATCAAAAGATGAAAACAGTTGAGCATAGCTATTTAGCAAAGTAACTGCCAACAACCACTTTAAAGAATCCCAATTGCTCAGTTAAGTAATGACCCATATACTAACTGTATCACAGATTATATACTATTTAAAAAGTAAAAATTGAGATGATTAGTAGTAAATACAAACTATTTATGCAATAGAAACATTTTTTTATATTTGTATAATCACTATGATGGGCCTATATAAGCACCCCATATAGATAAATATGAAGGGAAGGGGGTCAATTTTTAGATTTGCCCCTTTCCTTTTTTCTCTTTTTTTAAAATTGTCAATGAAATGGAGCATTTTGAACATATGAGTAAGTATAAGACAAGAGTGTTGAAAAACACAGGGGAACAGCAAAAAGAATATTAAAAATAAACAGGCAAGTTTTTTAAAAAAGCAATTATTAAGTATAGGCATAATGTTCCTAGCAGGGAGGGATGGTCCCAGAGTCCTATTTGGCTCACCCCTGACCAGCTACTGGTAATGGACTGTGTCAAAGAAATGGGGGATGGGTGGGGACTCAGAAGTTGCTGCCCTTTTAGAATTGGGCTTTTCAACCAAGTGCATACACTACTTAGGTTAAAAATTGCCTCTTATAATATGCTATGGTTTGAACATGGCTTGTCCCCTCTGAAGCTCAGCTGAAACTTGACTGCCATTGTGGCAATATTGAAAATAGGGCCTTTAAAAGGTTGTTAAGAAGGATCAATGCTTTTCTTGTGAAACTGTCCATAATGAAAGGAATAAATAAACTCTTGCTGTCAAAGGACTGAATCAGTTACAATGAAAGCAGGTTGCTATAAAGTGAGGCTGCCTCCTGTTTTCTGTCTCTTCCATACGTGGAGATTTGCCCTTCTGCCTTTCTGCCATACTAGGAAGTGACACAAGGCCCCCACCATTATTCAAACAGTCCAAGGTATCATTCCCTTGGACTTCCCAGACTTTAGAACCATGAGCTAAATAAACATTTATTCTTTGTAGATTATCTAGTTAGTATTCTGGGATAGCAACAGAAAACAATACTAATGATGTTTTAAAAACATTTATTTTTTAGTTGTAGTTGGACTCAATATCTTTATTTATTTATTTTTATGTGGTGCTGAGGATCGAACCCAGGGCCTCGCATGTGCTAGGCGAGCGCTCTACCTGTGAGCCACAACCTCAGCCAATGATATTTTTCAATCAATTTAACTATTGGGTTAGTCAGTTTTCTGTCACTGCGATAAAATACCCGAGGTAATCAACTTTTAAGGAGGAAAGGTTTCTTTTGGCTCATACTTTCAGAGAATTCATTCCATGGTCAGTTCACTCCTTTGCTTTTGGACCTGTGGTAAGGCAAAACATCATAGCAGGGAGTGCATGGTAAAGCAAAGCTGCTCATGTCACAGAGGCTCAGAAGGAGTGGTCAGAGGGGAGCCAAGGTAATATCCCTTCCTTCAATTCCATGCTTCATATGACCTAACTTTCCCACCAGGCCCCATCTCTTTAAGGTTCCATCACCTTCCAATTGTGCCACAGACTGGTGACCAAGCCTTTAACCTATGGGCCTTTGCAGGACAATTGTCCAAACCTTCTCAACTATATAGGTATTTAGATAAATATGGGGCATGCTCTAACAGTACAACAGAATAGCAGCAAGTGAACCAAGGAAGGTCTATGAGCAATCTCTATGACAGGCTTTTCTCTAAAAGATTTCAAAACAACAATACCCCAGTCTCTGAGGGGAAACAACAGAAGAAAATGAAAGAAAGAAAAGAAAGGAAGGAAGGAAGGAAGGAAGGAAGGAAGGAAGGAAGACTATTTTCTGCTAAGAAGTCAGTCAGACTTCTATTAAGAAGTATTTTGGTACCTAGTATGAAGACAGACTAATAGGTATTTTTGCTCTATAATGAGGCAGGAGAGTGGGATTTCCCTGTAATTACTCCTGTGGCAAATGAAACTTAAGTTCCTTGAAACAGGTGCTACCTGTTGACTAGTGGATAAGTACTGCCCAGGTTCATACATCAGATCAGACTGAGGTATCAGAAAGGGAATTTCACAGGTCATGTCTGGGGATACGGTTCACATGTGACCATCTACATACTTCATGATTGTTATTGACTTACATCTCACTCAACTAAATTGAACAAGTTTCATTTACCAAGAAACATGAAAATTAAAATCAGATCATTATTAACATGTCTCAATTCAATAATACTTATCTATTATAATTATGAAAGTTTCTTCAAGAAAGTGCTATAAAAGGTACAGACAGACTCAAAGATGTACTCCGATTTTGGAATCATTATAATCATGCAAGAATATATCACAGAATGAAGGATATGCAGTGATAACACACTCACTGGGAGGCCCCTCTGGGAAAGGCCTGGACTCAAAACTGTGCCACTCATCCTTCCTCATGAGAAGGAAGGGAAGCCTGCTCAGGTGGAGGACCTTGGCTGGCTTCCTATGGTGCACGTGCACAAAGAGCAAAAGCAGCACCCCCACACCCATATTTGGCATTAGGGGAAAAGTTCAGAAACATCTGAGAGTAGGGGAATCCACGCGGTAAACGGGGCAAAATGCCAAACAGCAGTTACAAACAGCAGCAGCAACATCAAAAATGATGCACAGGGAGCACCAGTAGCTGTGAGCCACCTGGAAATGGTGCTGTTACCACACTGTGGACAGCAGCTGTCCCTGGGAACTAGGGCAGAGAGCACTGCTTGATCAGAGACCCTGTGGGCTTAGCAGACAGACTGAGAACTGATCTCAAGAAACTGGCAGAGCTGCCTCACCTCAACATGCAGGTTGCACTAAATGTCCACACAGCTCAGGGTGGACGCCAGCAGTAAAAAGGAACTAAGATGTTACAGGGACACAAATTCTCACCCAGTCCTCTGACCGTGGCAGCCACCAGTGTGTAACCACCTACAATGGTTCAGTGCAGCATGTGCCTGTCTGTGGAGGTGGCCTCGCTTTGCCTTTAGCCCTCACTGGAGTATCTTACGGACAATGGAGAGAGAGCTAATTACTAAGGGAAATTATGTGTTTATTTACATCTTGATCATGGAGATGGTCAATCACACATTCAACATAAAAAATAGGATTATAGATTTTTATGTTTTTTTGTTTTGTTTTTTTTAAAAACTGTTCTGCAGAGGAGACAACATTTACTACCCACCTGATTTACAATAAGAGAAAGCTAGTACACACTCACTGACAATCTAATTCATCCTGTCATTCCCTCAGTACAGGCAGCCCCTGCTTTTCAGGGTCTAGCGGTTTCCTAGAAACCACATCAGTAGGTGACTGGGTCACTGTGTGAAAAGTGAGGCAATGGTCACCTGTCGGACTGACCAAAACTAACAAGACTGACATATCCAGAGTTACCTAGGGGGGCAAAGCAGGTACTTGTATGCCATGGAAGCATGGAGGGGACTCTATGTGAAATCAGTCAACAACTTCTGGAAGAAGCAAGTTGGCAATATAAAAATTCAAAAGTGTACACTTCCTGGGCATAGTAGTGTACACTTGTAATCCCAGTGACTTGTGGGGATGTGAACTTGAATAGCAAATTAAAGGCCAGCCTGGGTAACTTAGCAAAGCCTTATTTCAAAATAAAAAGTGCTGGGATGTAGCTCAGTGGTATGGTACCTGAGTTTAATCCCCAGTACCACAAGAAAAAAAAAAAAAAGTACATGTTCCGCAGTAGTTGCACCCCTAGGTAAGTAGTTTATAGAATCATTCATCATGTCCATAAAAAAATGAATATTCACTGTCTTAATACTGAAATGAAGCTGCTGGGCGCGGTAGTGCAGGCCTGTAATCCCAGTGGCTCAGGAGACTGAGGCAGGAGGATCACAACTTCAAAGCCAGCCTCAGCAATGGTGAGGTGCTAAGCAACTCAGTGAGACCCTGTCTCTAAACAAAATACAAAATAGGGCTGGGGATGTGGCTCAGTGTTTGAGTGCCCCTGAATTCAACCCCTGACACTCCCCTCCCCCCCAAAAAAAGACTATAAGTGATAAATGACCCAATGGTCCACCCGTGGGGGACTGGTGAAGTAAACCGTGGCCCATCTGTTCTCTGATTCTGGGCAGCAGAGAGAAACAGTGAAGCAGAGCCAGCTGCTCCAGCCTGAGAGGGCTGGTAGATGAACACTACCAATAATTTTTAAAAATTTGTTTTAAAAAATGAAAACAAAACCTAATTTTTGTTAGTTATATTTCCTACATGCTTATATAGTGTTTAAAGCATTCACAGGATCCAGAACAAGACAGGCCACTGGCACAGACGGCATCCCTGAGAGGAGACTCAGGTGAGAGGTGGTACTCAGACGGTTGTTTGTGTTGTCCTCATTCCAATAAAAAAAAATGACGTGAGTTTATTGGGAAATTAAATTTAAATATCTTAAAGTTATGCTTAATTTACCTACTTTTACTCTTTTCCTTTAATCGAATCTTGGCAAAATGCATTTTCTTTTCCACAAACTGCCATGGTGTTTAAAGACACGTTTTTCTACATGTGATCCTCTCCCCATCTGTGTTCCAGTGTTCTCCAAACCACCCCACAGATCCACCCACATGGGTAAGCAAGTGGCATGAACACTAGAGGCTTTATAATTTTGACAAATAAATGGTAGGGAATTACTTATACCCAAGTACAGATTAGAAAAATTGATTTTTATTTTGATCTTTCTATGTTTTTACTATTTTCCAATTGTGCATAATGATCATTAACAATCCAACTGAAAAAAGCCTAAAGCAGAGATTTCAATGGGGGGTGATTTTTGCCCCTCAGGGTGTTTGGCAATATGTAGAAACACTTTTGGTTGTCAAACTGGGGGAGTAGTAGCCACTAGCGTTTTCAGGGTAGAGACCAGGGATACTGCTAAATATCCAACAACACAGGACAATAACAAAATTTACCTGGCCCAAAATGTCCATAATGCTGAATTTAAAAACTTCTAAACATACTTCACATAAGTGACATGGAACTACGTAGGTTCTGCTGACTGCTTTTGTTCACCCCTCTAAGAGGATGGGGGAGGCCTGGGCTCACACCTGAACAATGTACTGGTAGATCATGATCAGGCTGACCAGCATGCTGATGTTGGCCAACAGGGAGAAGATGGACAGGACACGGAGGTTCCTGATGAAGACCAGCAGCACCAGGAAGGGCAGGAAGGTGAGCATGTAGAGTCTGGAGTCCATGGTGGGCGTCAGAATCACCGTCTCATTGTCATGGCAGTTGGTGGTGGTCCCGTTGGCTGCTTCTATCACCTAGAAGAGGGGAAAAAGGAGAAAGGTCAAGGCCTCCAATCACAAAGCTGACGACTGTCCTGCTGGAAGAGGCTTCTCACTAGGAGCTCAGAGTGTGAACCAGGCCTGAGAGGCATCTGTGGCCTGTAAGCTCTCCATGGAGTCTTCATGCTACTGTTGCTAGCAACCCAAGTGTCTGAACTGGGTGTGATCACATCTTACCTAAGACAGAAGGGTTAACAAGACATCTTGAGGTTTCTCTACATCCCAGGTCTTCACATGAGCATCAAAAAAAAAAAAAAAAAAAAAAGGCACTGTACATAAAGTGTTAAAACCTCAACTCTTTCGTTGACCAAAGCCGGCTTGGAAACAATCCTAAACAGAAATTCCACTCATCCCTTTTCATATGTTTTCTTTTTTACCAGAATCCTACCTGTTTAAAGTTCTCAGCAAGAAACACAAAATAGACACAGCAGAATCCCAGCTGAGTGACAATCAGGAAGAAGTCCACGATGTGCCTGGGGATGGGAAGGAGGGAATACAAAGGTCAATAAAATACAAATGGAAGACTCTCAGACAAATGCTTTCAATAGTGCTTTTTTCCTAAGTCATCACAGGCTCTTCCCAGCAGGTGACGAGGACAAGCATGTCAGTTAGAGCTTTGGAGAAGACTCTATCTGTGTGGTTCCTGAGATCCCCTTCCTGGCTTCTCTAGGATGCTGCATGAGGTAGGCAATCACCAGAGAACAGCAGGAAATGAGGGTCAGAACATTAAGATCTGGACACAACATTTTATTAGTGGTGCCACACCCCAGAGGGATAATTCCTAAAGTCTGAGCCTGGAGCATAGCAGGGCTTTTTACTTTTATACACCACCAAGTTTTGGATGCACCAAGGCAAGAGAATGGGTGCATTCTATGTACTTATTTGGGTACAAGCTTGTCAATAGCTTAGGGACTCTTAGCTCATACAGTTTAGGGACTTTTACTGCACTAAGCCTAAAGGCGGATTGTTCTGTACCTGCTACATTGTTTCCTGCTTCTGCTACCTGTTAGCAGCTGCAGGCTTCTATGGTTAAATGTCAGTAAGCTGACCTGATGTGGGTCAGTGTGCAAAACCACAGCCTGTCGGCTCTTAAACTGCTGAAGTTCCCATTCTGTTCTACCACACAGGCACCATGACCCCTGCTTAGCTCCTCTTTGTACCCACCCCCAGCCTACTTCACATGGTGAGCCCTTGACAGAGAAGGCCAGGAAGTGGACCCCTTTACAGTGTCTCCCTATAATTTGGACCCAAGAGCTAACCTAATTTCATATAAATAAGCAGAAATAAATGGACCCAAACAGATTGCTGGTTGAAGCACCGTTGGGCAACAGGTGGTTACCATCCAAAGGGCTATCAAAAAGGAAACTGATCGTGTTATTGACTATTCTTAAATAAGACACTGCTTTGCAGCTAGAATGTGTTAAAATCTATATGTGCTGACACTGAAAAAGTGAAAAATATCTAGGTGATTTAAGGGGGAGAAATCAAGTTTCCAAACAGTATATACTGTTTGGTCCATTTGTACAAAAAAAATGTTTTAAAAACGTTTGTTTATACACAGAAAAATCTAACAGGATTTTAGATGCACCTCTGACCTGGGTTTATTTCTGCTTTTCACTTTATGTCCTCCTGTCTTGTTTTAAAAATGCTTTTCCTATGAGCACACATTTTATTAGAAGAAAGGAGGGTGTGAGGAATGAGGGAGGGAAGATGGGAGGAAGGGAGGGAAGGAGGAAGGCAGGAAGAACTGATAACCAGCCAAGCACCCATGCACGGTGTGCTCACTTAACAACCGGCTTCTCCCAGGCAACAGAAAACGATTTTGCCAAAAGAACGACACAGTCTGTATCACAGGATGAAGCTGACTGTGAATCAAAGTTCCTTCTATGACCCCCAAAGGAACTCTTCTAGAGAACATAGGTTTAATGCGGTTCAAGTAAGAAAAACAAACAAATAAACAACAACAACAACAAAATAGGATTCAGTCCTTGATGGTATCAATTCCCATAGATCCAGGAAACAAAAAGTAGAATATTACCCTGCAGGCACCTGAACAGTCACCTAAGGGGAGATTTCCAGACACTCCCCACCTCCTCACAAACCTGTCTCCCACCTTGTTCCTTCTCTCACTAATTGTGGGTGTCTCTCTTCTGGCCCAGCCAGACAAGGGAACCTTCCACCTGAGCGCAGGCTGTCTCTCACCTCATTATGTTCTCTTCCTCTCAGTTTACACCATTACTGGTCTCTTGTCTTGTTCTTGGGTTCTTTCTCCCTGTACAGACCACAAGCCCCTGGAGGGTGGAGACCATATAATTTACCCCAGGGAATCTCCCCTCCCAATCAAGAACTGTTTTGTGCCACTGAGAGTTCTTCAAATGTATTTATTGAAAAGTGAGTGAATGGAGTATCATCACCAGATGGACATCAGGACATTCCACACTGTCAAAGCCAGAATGGCCTCCAGAGATCTTTCAGGCCAGGCCTCATGTATTACAGATGAGGAAGTGGAGGCCTGAAGAAGTGAGGGAGGGCTCTCACTGTCCCAGGACACAGAGCACAACAACTGCAGAGCCAACCCAAGCAACATTCTCCATTCCTGACGCTTTCCCCACACGGTACTTCCCTATCTGAAGGCCTCCACACTGGGGGGGGGGGGTGCACAGCTGAAACCAGTTACCTTCCCCAGTGAGCGTGGTTCCGGAGCCAGGAGCTGGGGCTGGATTCTAGACCATACATCACAGTGTCCCCATAGTCCACAAAGGGTTTGTTCAGCCTGGGAGAGGGGAGAGGCAAAGGAAGGGCAGAGCCTAGGGTTAGTCAATGACAGTGATGGCACAACTGGAGCTGCTGAGACCTGAGCCTACTCCCCACCAACCACCCTAAAGGCACCACTATGAGTCCTGCGTTTAACGCTTCTAACGATCAGAAGTGTGAAGTCTAGGGGACAGTTACTTAATTCACGGCCACTGGCAGGACCATTTCAATGCAATAAACATTACAAAGCAGATATAATTAGGATGTGGCCTCTGTCCACAGGTAAACCTAACAGATGACAGGGCAAAAAAATAATTACAAAAATAACCAGGGAACGTGATCCTGCTGGGATAATAGCCTTCACATTCGGCCAGTGTGAAGATGCGGGCGTTGTCTGCACAAGCGCCTACTTTCAAGATACAAGAACCAAAAATGATTTATGGCTCAGAGGGTTCTCACCTGCGGCAGAAGTGGTGAGCACATTTCACCAGGATACCCATGCAGTGTACGGCCACAATGCCTATCACCAGCAGGCTGAGGGGACCCATCTGGGGGCAGGGGTTGCAGGCAAAAGAAGAGAGAAAAGCAGTGAGAATTAGGATTTGCCAATGATGAAAATGCAGCTAAGGCACCTGCCAGGCATAGACCTTCTGGCCCACGTATAAGAAATGTGATCGTGGAGACCAGCTCTGGGAGATGGGCAACCCTGAGTACGTCTTCCAGAGAGCTAACCTCCTGGACAAGAATGACTCAAGATAAGCCTGTTCCAAGACTGTTGCAAACCAGCAGAACAAAGGTTCCTGTGACTCCCTGGGAAGAAGAGCTGGGCAAAGGGATGTGAGGGAGGGGAAGCTATCGTTAGCACAACGCCACCTCCAAACAGACAGCACTTAGCTGAACATCTCTGAAACCAGGATGGCTTTGGGTGGACAGTCTAAAGGAGGTGAATCATAAAAAGAAGATGTACGATTCTCTGCAAAAGCCACTTAGTGATGGGGTGGGCTGGGGAACTGTACAGAAAATGGACAGATATCTGTCACTAGCTCATTAGTGCATATTATTGATAGAAACAATCTGAATCATTTTAAGTACATCTTCATCACCACAAAGCAAGCCCGGATTAATTCACTGATAACAGTCTAAGAGCCAAGAACAGTGCCTGGCACACAGAAGGCCTTCAATAGATGAATGAATGTCTGAATATTGATTTTTCGCAGCTGAATTTAAAACAACAACAACAAAACCTATTTCCTACTTCCTTGCACGGGTGCAGACCCTTACCAAGAGGCCTGCATTTTTCACTGCCAAAGGCAGCCCCAGGAGTCCTGTGCCAATGTTGCCTTTTAACAGGTGGATCAAGGTCTGGAACCATCTGAAGAGGGAAGAAGGTAGACAAGGGAATGTTAACCGTGACGACAGCTGATGCACAACAGATACTGAGCACTGCACTACCTGCCTGCATGCATGATCTCTGACTTCTACAACAATCCTGAAGTTTTATTTTATGGATGAGGAAGCAACTTGCTCAAGGTCACGGACCTAGTAAAGAGTGAGCTGGAATTTCAGCCCAGGCACTCTGACCTCCGAGTACACTCTCTTACAGTTGCTGTAAGCCTCCCCTGACCCTGGCCCTTCAGAACCTCTTCTCTCTCAGGCCATCGGGATGATGGGCTCTCTCTAGGCATGGGTATTGGGGTCTTGTCCTAACCACTGAACTGACCACTGTGAGGACTCCCAATAGGGCAACAGAGCATGACAAAACATAATGATGACAGACAGACACAGGTACAAAAGAATAGAGGAAATAAAAATTGAAACCCAAACCTTGTAACAGAAAGCTTTATGAGACATGAACAGAGTTAAAGTTATATATACCACAGCAGGCTGGAAATCCCCAGCGTACTTTGTATAAAAAGGTTAAAAAAGAAAAAAGGTCAATTGCCATAGTGTCCTAGGATTGGAGGAGCCCTCTTCCGAGAGCCACCTAGTTACCTTTCTGCCTTGATGGCAGATTTCCCCTCCCACGTGTACAGACTGTGCCCCCCTCTCCAGACTGGGATTGAAAAGCCTCCTGTATTTCCTCAGTCATTTTCCACTCAACAAATACCATCTACCATGTATAAAACACTGTATTAACTCAAGTGGTGGAAATAGGTGTCAATCAGGTATGGATCTTAGGCTCCATAATTAGTAATGTCTCAAAGGAAACAGGGGACACATTCATAACCACCTGAGGTGGAAAGATTCTCAAGGAAAGGCCAGAGAGAGAATCCACAGAGAAGGCAGGGAAGGCTTGGTGGGGCCGAATGCCCTGAACCAAACCCGGCAGACAGGCAGGAGGTGTTTGTGGTCACTGCAGAAGAAGATGCTATGGGTGAAGGGCCTGGAAACAAGACCCTAGAGAGAAATGTGGACCGTGTACATGGAACAGTTCACCTTAGGAGTCGCTCGGGTCCAGGTGTGGGCAGGAGTGGGCACGGAGTTCCCCCTTTTTACTACAGGGAATGGGGGACCCATTAGGGACAGACAGAAGAGTTGTCTGGTCTTGGTATTTTAATCCTTTGCTACCTTTAGGAAATAGGATAGAAAACAGTTCAAATGAAGTATATTTCTTTGCTCTAAATCACTAGGATTTGACCCCTGGAACCGCTGGGAAATTCTTCTGCACAAATAACTAAATCATTCAAAACTGATGCTTAACATGCAATGTTTCAAATCTTCAATTCTGAAAGCAAATAGCACTTGTTACTCATAAAGGCTATTTATAAGACCCATCTACACCCTTTGGAAAGCAATTCTACTTTAACCTTTCTCCTTTGACATCCGGGAAGAAACTTCTTGATCTTCCAACTCTCCTTAATATTTTTGGGAAGAATCAAGGAAACTGTCTGAGCAGAGGTGAAGTGCTCTCCTGGCCTCACTGAAGCAACAACCTAAGGGCCTCAAGGGTCCAGCTGCATTATCAGCAGCCAGTCACCAGGAGACGATGGGTCTATTAAATTTCTTTTTTGGCAATGTTTAATCCACTAAAGTGCAAAGGTAAATGTTGTACCAAACCTATCTGCCTACCACAGGCCTCCCCAAAATGCCTTTGAGCTGGGAGATCAAGGCCCTCTGGTCCTAGCTCTACTGTCACCTCCACCTGGCAATTCGCTTCCTTTCCCTGGGCTGTTGTTTGAGGAAACTGAACTAGGAAAGATGGTCTCAATGGTTCCCTCAGCTGGGATTTCAGGCCAGAGGTCAAAATTACTTCGTTCAATAGGTGACCGCAAGCAGAGATTACCCAGTACCATAGGAATAGCACAAGATCATCACCAGGGGCGACAGGTCTTAGCTACAGGGTGGATTATGTGGGAGAAGGAAGAAGGCTAGGAAATCTCTTGAGGTTCCATTTATGCCCCATCAGTAGTTCTTAACACTTTTTGGTCTCAGGACTTCTTTATTCTCTTCTATATTAAGGACCTTAAATAGCTTTTGCATTATATCTGTTAAGACATATCATATGGGGGCTGGGGTTGTGGCTCAGTGGTAGAGTGCTTGCCTAGCATGTGTGAGGCACTGGGTTCAATTCTCAGCACCACATATAAACAAATAAATAAATAAAGGTCCATCAATAACTAATAAAAATTTTAAAAAATACATATTAAAGTTGAAACAAAAATGTTAAAAATTTTAATTAAAATAAGTTCATTAAATGTGAATAATACATTTTTAAATGAAAAATTAGCTCCAAATGAAAAAGAAGAAAAATGTGAGAAGAATAATATTTTTTTTCTTTTAAAAAATTTCATTAATGTCATTTAACTGAAGATAGCTGGATTTACCTATTTCTACATTCGATCTATTATGATACATTATTTTGGTTGATGTATATAAAGAAAATTTGTTCTGTCTAGATATGTAGTAGGAAAAGAGTATTTTAATAGGCCCTTTAATTAATCTTTCTTTTCACCCTACTCCAAAATGAAACACCTGATAGTTTCTAAGACATTAACTGCAATGTAGAATGTGAACTTTTCATGATCTTTTGCATTCAAATCCATTGGTGATCTTGCTCTTGATGGATCTTATACCCATGTACAATTTGCTAACATCATATTTTCAGCTATTTGGAAGTTATTGGTTTCCTGAGTTATGCAGATCTTCCAAACATTAGCACATTTCTTTATATAACATTGAGAAATCACATTAATAGATTTAACATGACCATTGACTAATATCACTGCTGATAAGGTAAGTTGTCAAGTTCATAGTGTTGGACACAAGGGTTTGTTTCCCTAATTTTGCTTAAAAGCTCAAATTTTATTGTAAGCAAAAAATATTGTTGATTGTTTTGGGGGAGTTGATGAATTCATTTCTTTCATTGTCAAGAAAATGCCAAATACTCAAATCCAAATAACCTATAGTTAGTTGTTCTTTCTAATAAAAATGACGTTCTATGGTGGGGAGAGGGGGAGAACAGCTAGTTCAATTGACAACTCCAACCCTTACTCAAAGGCTTTGCCCTAAGGCAAGTGTCATACTTAGAATGAAGAAGTGGTCCCCCGTGAGCTTTCCATTTTGTCACATAGAGATCCGTGCTGAAGGGTTATAATTTAATGAAATTGGTGATTTGATTGTTTCATCAATGACATTCTTAAGTAAGTGAAACTACAATAACAATTAGTAAGGATTGGCGCCATTGCGTCAACCTGTGCTGAAGCACCTGTGATTTCACCCACCACTGACTAATGATAATCTCCCCTGATGAGATCAGCGGTGATATTAGTCAACGGTCATGTTAAATCATGTTCAAAAGTCAACACAGTGAAGAAGAGGCAAACTGCACCTCAGGCTTATTATGAAGAGGGTTCTGTCCCCTTAGACTTCTTGAAATGGTCTTGAAAATCCCAAAAGGTCTGCAGACCACACCTGTCAAATGGCTGCTCCAGACATCTAGAAAAAAGCCACTTTGAGTGAGCTGGGTTCTCAGTCTGCTAGACTAGGGAAGAAGCACAGAGGTGTGATCAATAGCTGTTAACACTGCTCAATAGGGCAACAAGAAGAAAAATGTGCCCAAGAATGTCAATTGAGGCTTCTGTCAAAAGTCAACAGCTGAAAATACCAAATAATAGGAAACAGTCTCACCAAACACTTCATCATGAAAATGTCTGGGGGTTTTCACTTACACCTACCAATTAGGGAGTTTTAATGAGCTATTAACTTCTAAAAGAGTCAGGTGTGTGCATGAATATATCTGTAGGCTAAGAAGTACATCCATGTACTTTGTTCCTTAGCAAACCAGATAACAGGGTAGGGCAAGGCACAAACAGAAGTGGAATCTAGCTCAAAAATTTGTCCCTAACACTTCCTAAGTACTGGACATTTGGTTGTGTTAACAAGATTCCCCAAATCAACCTAGAAAATATATCTGCCATGTTTCCTACATAAATGTTTGTGTGGATCCTGTGCCCCAGACTGGAAATAAATCAATCTTTCAAGTCCCAGGGGAACACCTTTCCCTGGACCGACTGCAGTGGGACAGTGAAACCTGCCATTACCTACAGATGGGCCTTCCTGATCACCTACCTTGTATCACAATATCAGGGCAGGATGGGAACCTCAGAATCAAGTACATCCCGGAAAATGTCTGGATACAAGCCCGAGGAAGGCATCTTCGGATTTTTTCAATTTCCAAAAAAACAAGGGAAAGTAATTTTGGATTCACTACTAATTATAACCCAATGTGAAATAAAAGAGAGATTCAGCATCTCTAGCAGGCATGCATCAACCTCTGTGTATTTAAGACATATGAGCTCCAATTCTAGGGTTGCTGGCTGGTTAGTTTTGAGTTTCAGAGCCTTCTCTATAAAAGTGAGAAACAAGACCCTACAGGGTAAGTACTGCATAGACAAGTTGAAGCCTGAGAACAAGGAGGAGCAAAAACTGGGAGGGAAGGTACAGAAGAGAAGCTTGGAAGAGGTATTTCACAATAACGAGCGTGACCCACTGGCTGCATGTGGAGTTCCTTCTGCCGGGCAACGCCAGTGGGGGACAAGGTTAAAGGAAAAGAGGAAGGGTGGTCCTTGCTGCTGCCGCCTGTGCTTTAAGCAATCTTTCAATCAGCTAAAACCACAAGCACATGAGAATCTACACAAGCATGTTGGCTGAGAAATAAGCTACCGAACCGAGCACAAATCCTTGTGAGCAGAAACCAGCCAGTGGTGGCGAGGGGCAGGTCACATGGACAGACCATATCTCCTAGATCCTGGCCAGTTCACAAGAGAATATGCCCTGCCCAGGACAGGGTGCAGGCAGAGGGAGCCACCCTAGTGAGGGGTTCCAAGACATGTTTCCACAGTCCCCTTGGGCAGTCATGAGGGACAGCATGACCAACTGCAGGACACAGAGGATCCCTCACAGTCTCACTCAACCCACCAGGGAACACCGGAAGGCTGACAGCTCAGCCTGAAGATAAATGGAAGGTGCAGAGCATGAGGTTCAGGGACCCTGAGAAAGGTCACAGGTCCACTGAGGCTGGGGGTAGCTGGGAAACCTTCGGGAGCCTAAAAGTCTCCTCTGAATTTTTCAACTGAGGTGGTGGTGCCACCCAGCCAGTTTAGCTTCAGAGTGACTTCCTCCATGTTTCCTTACATCTAGGGAAACTGAGGCCCAAAGATGGCCAAACTCAGCCCAGATGAGCCCTGAGTTTCAGTGGGGAATTGGCTAAAAGGGCGAGAAGAAATGACTCCAAAGGAGACTTAGGAATATGACTCCCGCCCAGGAGGGAAGAGGGTAACAGGGACTTACGTTGTGCTGCTGCTTTCCCCAAAACGCTGGTAGGAGCCAGGGGAGAAGTTGCTCAGGCCTTCCGACGGGCTCTCCTCAGGGCTCACATCCGTGGAGCTGTAGTCGTGGTAGTCTTCGTTCCGAAGCCTCTGGGTGGACATGGTAGCTGCAGGGACAGGGTCAGCATTAGGACCTCCAGCAGTTGGGGATGAAAGCTGCAGGTCTGGGGCAGGCTCTGGGGCAGAAGTAGTCATGGCCACAGCTGCTTACAGGGCCAGCTGCACTATAGATCAAGTACAAGGAGAGTGCCCTGTACCAAGGAAAATGCAAAGGTACAAAGTGCATGGGGCCAGGCTGAGGTCACTCAGCTACTGCTCTGCACCTCCCCAGCAGGTGCTGTGCTCATGAACTTCTAAATTCATCCCAGTGCACTTGCACCCAGCAGAGGTGAGGCAATGCTTGGGAGGAGTGGGAGATGACGCTGGCAAGCCCCTCCGGGAAGCCTGCCCTGTTCCTTTGCTCTGGATTAACTGCTCCTTCCTCTGAGGACTTCAAAAATGCTTAGATTTATGTGTCTTTCCCAAGAGCAAGCCCTCAGAGGACGGGCATATGAACAGCTCTCATTGTATCCTCTTTTTCCTTCTCCTGCATTGGAGAATCCTGGAGCATTCAAGAAAACCCCTCAGGATCATCCAGTTCTGCTTAAACTCCCCAACAGGTCAAGAGCCCCCGAAGTTCATCTCCTTCTTTCCATCATGACCTCAGGCCTGTTCTGTACACTGCAGGCTACTCAGTAAGTCTCATCCCTTCAGTAGGTCTCTTCTTGCCACCAGTGTGAGTACTGAGCAATGGCAGCTGAAGGCAGCTCAGAGGAAGACCAAGAGTGTGAGGGAGCAGGAGACCTTGATCTTACTTTCAACATCTCCCCTCTGCAATCCTTTACTGGGGCTCAGAAAATAATACCTCAAAGCCTGGTGCTTTTGTGTCTGAGCACCTGAAGACAGACTGGAAGCCCTCAGTCAGAAAGTCTCTGACTTACTCCTACCTTCCTGTCTCCCACCCTGCCTGCTCCCCTGAAGCAAGTCACAGAAGCAGAATTCCTCTGCCCCAAGCTGAGTCCTAAATTCCTGGACCCTTCTCCTGCAAAGTGATGACAAAATCCAGAAAGGACACGCTGTCCCTTCTCCCTTCTCCTTTGAGGATTTTCAATCCAGAGGATCCATCCATGGATGGAAGGAATTCTACGCAGAGAGGTCAAGAAGAATCTGAGCAGACTGGCCTTGCTGGGTTTCCCCTCATCTGTTTCCATGACCTCCGCCCCTTTTGGGTAATCCCATCTCTCCACAGTTGTCTGTGCTCATCAAACTTAAGCATCAAAATGGGCGGATTCCCCTAGGTCCTTGAGCCTTCATTTCTGAAGACTTGTGTGTTACATAAAACTTGGATTAAATAAATGTTATGATTTTCTTGTTAAACTGTCTTATTACAGGAGTGTTGGCCATGACTTTTATGATGGGGAGGGAAAGTATCACGCCTTCTCCACTCCTACTACACCTTCTTCATTTTCGAATTGCTCATGTTTAAAAGACTGTGAAGAAGAAATATTTCCTGTGTGTGCTGATGAAGGACAGTGAGGGTGGACTCTGCTGGGGGCAGGGAGGACTCTCCATAACTTCTCCAGAAAGGAGAAGAGCAAGAGTTTCTCTGCGATTCACAACAGGGAGGCCATCTGGGAGTTGAGGAAGTCCCCAGAATCCTAGTAACTGTCACTAAAAAAAGCCTAGACAGGTCACCCCAACCCATCATCTGACAGAAGAAGAATCAGCACCTTGAAGATGAGGGGGGGCTACAGCTAGGAAATAGCAGAGCAGAAAACATCTCCTGATACCCTGCCTGAATCTGGAAATGTCTACTGAATACGGTGCCCACTGCTGTGAGGGAGTATACAAAGAAAAAGAGCCAACTTCCTGCCCTTCAAGAATCTGCAAGTGGTGCACACCTATAATCCCAGTGGTTCCAGAGGCTGAGGCAGGAGTATTGCGAGTTCCAAGCCAGCCTCAGCAAAAGCGAAGCGCTAAGCAACTCAGTGAGACTCTGTCTCTAAATCAAATACAAAACAGGGCTGGGGATGTGGCTCAGTGGTCGAGTGCCCCTGAGTTCAATCCCTAGTACCAAATAAATAAATAAAAGAATCTGCAATCAAATATGGAAAAAAGGTACACTATCATGAAAAATTTCAAGTAAAAATCCTTTACCAGTTGGCAGACTACATACCATGCTGAGCCTGACATGTTATCTCAGAAACCTGGTGACGAGGCAGAATCTCCAGTGGCTATCACAACACTCCATCCATCCCAACATCCAACCCCACCTGCCAGAGGACAGCTCTCTGCAGGCGACAACAGGTCCAGTACCTGAGGACTCTTGAAAACTGGCCCTGAGCATAAGAGTGATCCAGGGGAGATCTCATTTTCTCCCACGAACCCTAATGTGGAAAAGACCCCATGTAATCTTACCAGGAAAATGCTTAACAGAAAACTGGAAAGGGGCTGTTGTCGTCCATTTTCTACTGCTGTAACAAAAATATCGGAGTCTGGATAATTTATAGATAAAAGAGTTTGCAGTTCTTAAAGTCCAAGAGCATCTGCTCAGCTTCAGGTGAGGACCTCTGGTTGCTTTATGCATGGTGAAAAAATGAACCACCAGTGTGTGCATGAGGTAGAGAGGTCACAAGAGAAAGACCAAGGAGAGGTGCCAAGCTTGCTTCTTAACAACCCATCGTCACAGTAACTAACCCACTCCTGTGAAAACTACATTACTCCCTCCATGAAGGTGAAGCCCCAGGACCTAAGTACCTTTTAAAGACTCCATCTCTCAACCATTCCCCAACATGAGTTTTGGTGGGGAAAACCATACTTAAGCCACAGCAGGGCCTGTAAATCCCAGGGAAGATCCTGTCCAGTTCCATTGTCAGAGTCTCAGCTAAGGAAGGGGATGAATCTATAAAGAATCTTTAGCACAAGTAATTGAAAACCTCTGGTTATGCAGGCAAAAGCTAGTAAGTTAGCTCATATGTCAAGAGACCTGGGTTCTAAGCCTGCCTCTCTCACCTGTTTGCTCTGCAATTTTTAACAATTTTCTTTCTCTAGAATCTTAGTTTCCAAATGCAAAAGCAGGGTGGAAGTGTAAGCTGAAATCTCTCTTAGCTCCTCCCTATTTCTAATATTCCAGATACCAATGATTGCATTTATGAAAACAACGGCTAATTTCTAGTCTCTTCCAACACACCAAAAGCATCTAAGGAACAGAACCTTTCAAGTAAATCCTGTACAATACTGAGGGCAAAGGGACAGACCTCAGGGAGTGCTAAGTTCCCCAATCCCTTCTAACCAACCAAGAAACCACTCTGTTGCATACTTACTTAGTACAGATGCTTGAATTATTTCAAACATTGTAAAGAGTCTTCTTTATGTCATATACAAAAAACAGAAGCTAGCTGGGCATGATGGTGCATGCCTGTAATTCCAGTGGCTTGGGAGGCTAAGGCAGGAGGATGACGGGTTCGAAGCTAGCCTCAGAAAACTTAGCAAGGCCCTAAGCAAAACAAGACCCTGTCTAAAAAAAAAATTAAAAAGGGCTGGGATAAGGCTCAGTAGTCAAGTGCCCCTGAGTTCAATCACTGGTACCAAAAAAGGAAAACAAAACAAAACCCTGAAGCTACCTATATCAGAATGTTGCTTAGAAAGCTCAAGAAGAAGCTGAAACCTAAAGAACTAAAGTCCAATAAACAATTGCAGGATGTGGGAAATGTGGCTTAGTTTCTGCATACATACTGAGAAAAGAAAAAATGCTATTTATAGACTTTGGTTAATGATAAGCTCAAAAGAGGTCAAATAATATAATAACAGACGTCAAATAAGCAAATACAATTCTAGGTTACATTAGGAAGGGAGAGAACCAAGTAGATGAACCAGTTAGCTTTGCATGCACCACATGCTGATGCAGGCTACAGACTATGAAGGGGATAATGACAAACTATGGTTCATCCAAGGGTCAGGGCCTAGGTCAAGAGGGGGCTGGAAACCAACTGGTAAAGGAAAAGTTAGAAGCACCAAGAAGATTCAACCTGGCAAGTTAGGAGGCACAAACATGTCTTTAAAGACTGTTAAACAGATTTTATTTTATTTATTTATTTTTTTTGGTACCGGGTATTGAACCCAGAGGTGCTCAATGGTTGTTTAACTGAGCCACATCCCTGGCCCTTTTTATTTTATTTTATTTTTATTATTTTGAGACAGGGTCTTGCTAAGTTGTTCAGGGCCTCACTAAGTTGCTGAAGCTGGCTTTGAACTTGTGATCTTCCTGTCTCAGCCTCCCAAGCTGCTGGGATTATAGGCCTATGCTACCATGCCTGGCTTGATTGATTCTTTGAAGCCTCAAAGATCAGAGCTAGACTCAACAGGTGAAAAATTAAGGATGGTAGATCTTTGGCTAGATGTAAGGAAAAACCTTCTATTAAAGATAGTGGTCCAAATGAACAGCTGGAGGGAAAGCAATTTCCCATCTCTGGAATAAGTGAAGTAGAGAAGACATTTCTCAGAGCTGTTACATAGGAGCCAAGCATCAGAGAGAGTGGTGGTATCCACCCCTTCAATGGCTCCTTCTGGCAACCAAGGCCTCCTCCTCCTGCCCTCTTGCTGTGCCCACTGAGCACCGTCTCCATGGCCACCCTGCCCCTGGGCTCCCCTTGATGATGGCTGGTATGCAAGTCTATTGCCCTCTGGAAGACTTTAATAGGACCTTGTTACCTGTCCAAATGAGGCTTGTAATATGTGAAAGTTGAAGAAGAGCCTGTCTTTCAGGTTCTTGAGTAAAATGAACAGTTTATATATTATGTGTGGTCCATCAACACGAAATCAAAATCTCCATAAGATATCTAGACCCCAAGAAGAAAACTTTTCAGAAAAGTACATTCAACCCAAATTGCATTGAAATAGCAACTATTTGTATAACCTTGATAGATTTCCTTCTTTTTCCCTATACAAACTCTTTTAATTGATTCGGTAAATAATGCCTTTAGTCTACAAAATATGCTGTCTTTAATGTTATACCACACATAAATTATGAGCAGTTGGAATCACTTTGTACAATGGATGAAGTATGGAGAATGTGTTTGCAAATAGATTTTTTGTTAAAAAAAAAAAAAAGCACTGAATTTCTAGTAGAGGGTGATTTTTAAGAATTTTGTAGTGATTTTTTTTTTTCTTATTTTGGTACCAGGAATTGAACCCAGTCGCACTAGACCACTGAGCACATCTTCAGCCTTTTTGAAAATATTTTACTTAGAGACAGAGTTTCTCTGAGTTGCCTCACTAAGGAAGTTGCTGAGGGCCTCACTAAGATGCTGAAGCTGGCTTTGAACTTGTGATCCTCCTGCCTTGGCCTCCCAAGCTGCTGGGATTATAGGCATATAGCACCATACCCAGCTTGTAGTGATTTTTAATGTAAAAACAAAAGTCTCTAACTGTGTCAGGATTCAGGAGAATATAACCTGGCCAGCAAAGTGTCCTGTACTATCCAATTTAGTAGGCACTAGTCACAAGTGGCTACCAAGCACTTGAAATACAGTTGGTCAAAATTGAAATGCACAGACAAGGGATTTTAAAAATTTGGTATAAAAATTATGATATATTTCATGAATTCATAATTTTATACTGATTATATGACATAATAATACGTTGGGATAGAAGGAGTTAAACATGTTTAAAAAAAGAAAAAGAAAAAAAAAAGAAAGAAAAAAATGCAAAAGAAAAAAAACCCATAGATTTCTGGGCCGCACCTGAATCCACCTGAGCATTTTATTTTTAACCAACTTCCCAGGTGATCCTGGTTACAGGAAGATTTAAATAAAGCACTAAAAAAATATGATCTTCTTATGATGGGTACACCTCACCTCCTACTAGAGTTCACACATTGATGATATCTGCAAACTAAAAAGTGCTTTCCATTATTTTGAATTGAGGACAAGTCTCACGCTAGGGCAGCCACAGGGCAGTTGCTGACCTCGGAATGCACTGCTGAGCAGGCAAACATGCCCACTTTTTATCTATAATTACAAAGATCACTAAGTATTAGAACCATGCGTGACTTCAAAAAAGACTCTAGTCCAGCTTTCCAGTTAAGAGGTGAGAAAACCAAGGCCCAGAGAGGTTATTCCACAGAGGCCCCAGCTGGCCAAAGATATGGGATTTAAATCCAGCAAACCAGAGTCCCAGGCCAATGTTCTTTCCATCATACCACACATTATTTACCCTTTCTAAAATCTCCAGAACAAAACTGCCCCTGGAAGCTGGGGCAGGGTTAAGTCTGCCAGGGCCATTCTGCATGTTTTTAAAAAAGCACTGTTTGGAGTCTGAGAGACTCCAAGCCAAATCACTCAAATCATCTATTGCCTTGACTCCCTCATATGAAAGATATTGCTAATATCATCTACGTCATGAATTTGTTACGAAGATACATAGATGTTAGGTAAGTTATCTGGCACATAAGAGACCCTTATAATGATAGCATTTGACATTAGATAAATATAGAGTCATATATTGAGAGTCATAATATAGAGTCATGGATGTGAAATAAGAAAATTCACTATAGAAACTCTCTGGTATTTTCTTCATTTAATGCCCTAGAGAGCTGAGCCAGGCCCCTCTCTTGGTAATAGAGATCCAAGTGTCATGTGGACCTTAGATTTACGACTTCAAAGAAATGGGAAACACAGAGAAGTCTTTGATGCACTGGCCCTGGGTGTCCAGGCTTCCAAGAGAAATGTATTGGGGCTAGAAGAGGGGACAGCATTAAACACAGCCTCATGTGGTATCTATTCTGGCAAACTCTGAATGCCCCATCTACTAACATCCATACCTATTGAACAGTGGATCACTTTTTTGTGTGTGTGCTTAATCCAGCAAGCTCTGGCCAAAGGAGGGAGGTGCAGGACCACTCCAGGCCTGTGTTGAGGTAAATGGATTCAATGGTTCTCCTCTGTGAGAAAAAGAAGAGCTGCTCCAGATATTAGTGGTATTAATCAGTAATAACCTTCTGGAATGGGTTATTAGCACCAACCCAGCAAATGCAGAAACAGAAGACCATTCATTCAGCAAGATTGGGGGAAAGAAGAAATGTATAGTAACCAGCAATAATTCCTTAGCTTCTGATCCTTAAGGAGATGTGAAGCATTTAAAGAATTGGAACCTTCATTGGAGTTGGTTTCGAGAAAACTTCAAAGTACATCCAGGTCAATCCTCCACGCAACACGGTAATTTCATACACAACAAAGCCCTGGGTAATTGCCAGTGGGAATTACCTTCAGTGACAGGGAAATCCATACTCTGTGTTTCAATGAAGGAACTAATTCTTTGAAAGTTTTCATGCTCACCCCAAAACTACTTCTTTGGGCACTTCCATCAACTGGTCCTAACTGTAGATTCTGGAATATCACAAAACAAATAGAATGCCTCTTCCTTACACAGCCTTGGGAACAGACACAGCTCAGAGCATCTGAAGCTGCCATGGAGATGAGGCTACCTGGCTTAAAGAGAAAATAAGGACTCAAGAGCAGCCAATTATAAAGAACAAAAAAGGGGAGTGGGGAGGGCAGCAATTGACTACTGTCACCAGAGCAGTCTCTGCTGCCTACAGCCTCCACCCCTAGACAAACAACCTCAAACCCCCAATGCAGGAAGGAGCCTCTTGTTGACCTCCAGAAAACCCGTAAAGAAAACTGTTCTTGTACATACAAGTTAATTACTGTAAATAAGGCTCTAGACAAGAGTCAAGAGAGGGCTCTGATCAGGAGCAAGACAGTTAAAATCATTTTTCAGCCATCATCATTTAGCCTAGACAATACAGAGACAGGAAAATAGAGGAGAATTTCATGGTAATGTAGAAATAAGTACAGGAAACTGTTGCCTGGACAACTGGACTAAGTCTTGTTGAAAGGTGATGCTTGAAGCATAGAGGGAGGGAAAAATATCTCTGAGTAAAAAACAAACAGACCTAGATGCAACGAATGTTAGAGCAGAAGAGACCCTTAGGGATTAAACCCGATCATCACACAGACTGAGAAACCTAAACCCAGGAGAGATGGTTGTCACCTAAGGTGGCAGAGTTTAAGTGGCAGAGCTAAAACAAAATTTCCTGATTCTCCTATCTCAGTTCTTTTCAGTACATGATTCTGCTATCATACTTCAACAAGCCACAAATAACAGCAAACATCCATTCAGATAGCGTCTTCCCCAAATCTGACAAGTTACAGAAAAATAAAGCAGAGGTCGTTCCATTCTTCAAATTAATACCAGGAATCTCCTCTGCCTCACTGAGCCACGTATTCTCCCAGGGGGCATACTCCGATTCTTATTTTGATATGACTTACATGAAATTTGCAGGACGGTTGGAAACCAAGCCTACACAGTGATGAGTTTGCAGAAAAACCGTGAACAAACGGAACCACGCCCAGAGCCAATCCAACCCTAGCGATGGAGAATGCAGAGCTAGACAAGCAGAGGACTAAAGGAGAAAGAAAGTGGAAAGAGTGTCTTTTCTCACACCGTTTCCCGCAGGAGGCGGTGTAGTCGAAGTCCACAGCTGCTGGAGCTCAGGGACACTTGGAGTCTAGTGGCAGGTCTGGGACTAACTCACTGGGTGACCTTAAGCAAGCCCCTACTCCTTTCTGGGGCTCGGTTTTCCTACGGTCCGAGGAGGGGGTTGCACTAGATGACTTCCCTGGGTCTTGCAGGTCTGGTACTGTGTGACCCAAAGCCCCATTATCAGCAAGTCCGGGACACAGCGAGGGAGACTCGCCCCAGATAGCACACCGCTTTGGGAAGCGTGGACAAAGCCAACAGCCCGAAGCCAGAGACGGTCGTTTGAGTAACCTTTTCCGTCTCCGGACTTCGGTTCCACCTGTCATACAGGGCGGAGACCCCCAGCCCCGCGAGGTCCAGGGAGAGAGCACGAGGAACAAGGGGTGGCCACTCCGCCTCATGCGGGAGGGCTACCCGCATCACACCGCCGCGGGGGGCCAAGAGCCTCGGACCCACAGCCCGGGCGGTTCCAGCCCCTGACCTAGAGCATCTGCTAAGCCGGACCGCAGGAAGGCAAGAAGGGCCCTGCGGAAAGCAGTGACAGCAGCCAGAAAGAGCAGGTCAGCGCAGGCACTCACCGCTTGGAATCCGGCTCCGGCCCTAGCTCCAGCTCGGGCTCCGGCTCGGGCTCCAGCTTCGGCACAGCCCACCCTTCTTTGCCTCAGCGTGGAGCCCTAGCCATCCTTTTCTGCAGCCCCGGCAGCTGCTTCCGGGCCCTGTCACGTGATGTAGGTGCCAGAGCCCCAGGCTCAGGTCACGTGACACTGGGCTCAGCCCCTGTTCTCCAGAGTCTGCTCAGCAGCACCACCTGACGACCAATTTCTGCAACTGCAAGAACAACCGCATTCCTTGAGCTTGGAGGGGTGGGACTAGGAGTGGACCTAAGAGGGACATTGATCTAGAGGGGAGCGGAAGAGCACTGTTGTGGACTTGTGCAATAATTCCAATTTTAGACTTTCTATCTTGTCTGTAACACATCTCAATGAACATGTATTGCTTTTATAGTAAGGAATACACATCTTTAAAAAAAAACCCATCTCATCCTGTTACAAGAAACAAACCCTCATCTGTGATTGCTACTGAAATGAGACTGTGGGGTAGGCCAACACTATCTTTCAATATATTTTAAAATGTTTAATTTAAAAATCGGTTGGCCTGGCGCGATGGCACACAGCTCCAGGGGCTGAGGCAAGAGGATCACGAGTTCCAAGCCAGCCTCAGCAATTTAGCAAGGTGCCAAGCAACTCAGTGAGATCCTTTCTCTAAATAAAATACATATTAGAACTGGGAATGTGGCTCGGTGGTCAAGTGCCCCTGAATTCAATCCCTCTTATGTATGTATGTATGAATAAATAAATAAAATGCAACATTTCAGTGTGCTTAAGATGTATGGATTATATAGGCTTCTCCTCTTTCCTCTTTGCACATTTTTCCTTTAAAATTTTTGTCACAATAGGCTGTAGTTGTGGTTCAGTGGTAGAGCGCTTGCCTAGTGTGTATGAGACACTGGGTTGGATCCTCAGCACCACATAAAAATAAAGAAATAGAATAAAGGTATTGGTCCATCTACAACTAAAAAAACCTTTTTTTTAATTATGTCACCAACAGTCTTTAATTCACAAGACACAAAATTATTATTTCATTATAAAGTGAACAATTCATCAAGAAGTCATTACAATTATATATTATACACGTACGTAATGCATGTATAACAATTATATATGTGTGTCATATGTCTCTCTCTCTCTCTCTCTCTCTCTCTCTATATATATATATATATATATATATATATATATATATACAGCAAATATCCATGGACACAAAGGGATAAATTGTCTGCATTATAATTATCGTAGAGGACTCCAATACCCAACTTTTATCAATGAATAGAACCATCAAACAGAAAATTAATAAGAAAATACTGGACTAGTGCTTCAGACCAAATGAAGAGAACAGTGATACAACTTTTTTATAAAACTGAGGGGATATATTTTATTGTTTGTATAGACATAAATTCTGGAAAAATATACAAGAAAAAAATGCAAAATCAATTATCTGGTCTCACCCAATGCTACTTCTCACCTGTATCTCCTTCACTTTCATTAACAAGATGACTAACTGGAGACTTTAATAGGTACTCTTAGAAGCCTTGATGCATGTTAAAAACAATCTCCTGCTATAGCTATGCTATTGGAAGCTGCCTTACGGTACACCTGCTGTGGTAAAGAGTCATCTCAGAGTTGGGCTCCAGAACAACAGAATCAGCATCACCTGGGCATTTTAGAAATACAAATTCCAGAGCCACATTCCATACCTACCACATCAGAACCCCCAGGAGTGCAGCTTGCAATCTGCATTAACCAGGAGATTCTGATTGCTCTGGATTCTGATAGCCCCCGCCCTAAGGGCTCCTACTTCAGCCATGGACCCACAGGCTATGTATTAGTCCAGTACCTGAGGGTGTGTGGTAGAGGGTAACTAGAAGGCCTTTCTCCATCACTTCCTGGCTGGGTGGCCTGGACAAGCCTTTTGATTTCCTTTCAGTTTCCTCTCCTGGAAAGTGAGGTTGAAAACCCTACTTGATCCTGCTTCCCTCTCTGGTTCGTTGACAAATTTAACATTTGGCACCTAAATGTTAAATGCATATCCCCAAGGATATGCTAGAGAGATATACAGATAATTAATCTTTTTGTGCCTAACAGTGAGGGATTTAGTCTCTGTTCTTACCACCCCACCCATCCAACCCTCAAGGGTAGTGGGTCCTCAGATGTCATATGAACCCTGCTCAGTGTCCCTTCTCCCTCTTTTTTAAAGACCCCTTGGGTCCTTACCCCATCTTCCAGTACATTCTGTGACTGATGGCACCCCTGTTCCATCCCACCCTGCTGGGAGCACTGCCCTCTAAAGCTGCTTCCTGCTCTGAAGTTCTAAGGTTTTGTGTCTTACAAGGTTTTAGGATCCACACCAAGTCTTCTTGGTTATTAACTGATTTGTCATGCCAGCCCTATGAGCTATGTAGCAGATATGGTTGGTGGCCCTTCCTGTACTCCCTTTACCAAAGCAGGGTCCTCCCAGACTGGAGGCCACGAATGAATATTGCCTGCTGTATTGTAAACAGTGCTACTCTGCTAGTGACATAAAGCAGCCACTTTGGGACACAGAAAGACCCATACCCTTCTGTCAGTATCTGGAGAGCAAATGCTATTGTTCATACTCATGGAATTTCTGTGGGTGGTTTGGGTAATTATTTGCTATAGTGTAAACATTCATCATTGTTATAATTTAAAATAGTTTATAAGTTATAGAGACATAATTTAAGAAATCATTAAGCAGTCCACATGATAAAAAGTGAATTTGAAAAAATCTTAGTGGAAATAAGAAAAGATTAAATTGCTATGTTACAAAGAAGACCAGACACAACCAGGAAATTACATACTAGTGATGTAGGAGAGAGTATCTTGTAAAGCAAATGAGCAAAGGAGTTGAAGACTGAAAAGCAGCTCTGCAAGCACGAAGCCACCAAGGCAACCAACATCAAAACAGCTGGAGTCTGGTCAGCGTGGCTGTGAGGTACCTCTGCCTCTAAAACATTATTTTGACTCTTATGGTGATTTGTTTTGATGATTTGAAATGAGGTAAGATAATAAAAAATATTTTACCAATAGTATGTTTGTGGCAAACAAGATATAAAGAAAAAAATGTTACAAAGGCCATAGACATAGGTACTCTTGAGGTCCCAGGAGAAAATGTTGCAAGCTACTTAAGATTCCGTCCATTCAATGGTTAAATGGGACTCCTCTGCCACCAATGCCAATGCTTTGATGCCTGAGAGAGGGCAGAAGAATGGCAGATTCCCCAGGGACACAGACCTGGAGGGATAATGTAAAGATGATGCCAAAGAGAACACTCATTTGATAACCTGCAGGCAGGGTCACAAGGACAAGAGCATCAAAGTACAAACGTGACAGCCAGGTTCAAGCCTCTCCTTGGAACCATGTACGGCTCACCCATGATAAAGAACAGAATTTAAACACATCTTATTGTGTTAACATAAAAATGATTTCTCCAGTGATGCGTGATAGCCAATGGGGTACCAGGATGGGTCAGGAGGCCACTGATATGGATACCCTGGCCCCTTGGGGTAGCCAAGAGGATCTAAGGTGGCTGGGGCCCCTGAGACTATTATTGCTTGTCATGAGCTCCTTAAGTGGTCTTTTTTCCCAAGGACCTTCAAACTGTTATCATTTTCTACACATTATGATGTGGAAAAGATTGGGAAACAGGGGATAGGTAGTGTACTCATGCAATTTTTTATTCAAATAGAGACACTTTTGAGAATGAAAGGGGCTGTATTATGATTTTTACAGGAACAACAGAAATATAATGGAAGTGTCCCAGGTAAACTGGGTTGTAAGGTGTAGAAAGAAGACTAATGGCCCCCGAAGATGTTCACTAATCCCCTGATGGCCTAATCCCAGAACCTTTGAATACCCTATCTCCAGTGGAAAAAGGGACTTTGCATTTGTGATTCAATGAAGGAACTTGAGGTGAGATTATCCTGGATTGCATGGGTGGGCTTATTATGTTCATAAGGTTTTTTATAGGAGGGGGGCAGGGCAGGAAGTTCAGAAAGGAGAGAAGATGCTATCCCATGGCTTTAAACACAGAGGAAGGAGCCATGAGTCAAAAGAAAGCAGGAGGCCTCTGGAGGCCAGGGGAGCAAGGAAACAGATTCTCCCCTGGAGCTTCCAGAAAGAGCGAGGCCTGGCCAATACCTTGATTTTAGGACTTCTGACCTCCAGAACTGTAAGGAAATAAATTCATATTGTTTTATTCCACTACATTTGGGGTCATTTGTTATAATGGGAATAGGAAACTAACACAAATACTAATAATTTCTATGAAATTTGGCCTTATGTTTATATAATTTTTAAAGTTACAGAAGCAATCAATAAAGCACCAAAGCAATGAAATATTTATATTGAGAGGTGGAGTAGGGTGTACATTTTCATCTTGCGTAATGTTGATAAATTAATAAGCGTAACTATAAGGTTATTGTGCAGAGAGATGAAGGACTGAATAGCTAAAATGAACCACTGATTTAAGAAAAAAAAAAAAAAAGATGACTAGCCCCAGAAAGAGAAATTTTGGGTAGAGAAGTGCTTCTTATTATAAATCCTTTAGTTAAAACCATTCCTTCTTTAACCATGGGCATGCATGTTTAAGTGGGAACATGAATTTTAAAGTCAGATGGTGTTGGGAGACACTCCCAAGAGCTTATGAGCTCAGGGTCTCTCAAGTTCTAGCCCCACTAATCCCCAAGCATGATTCCAGCTTCTGCCCTCCCAGGACCCTCCCCTCACCTCTGACTCAGCCAACAGCTTCCTTAATCTCAGTCTTGGCACAAGCCAACTGATAGGTCCTCCTAAAAGAAGGCAGAAGAAGGCACCAGTGGAGGAAGAATATGCTCAGGATGGGGGCCAGGCAGTTTAAGAGATCAGGGCCAAGCCCCAAGCCCCAGGAATAAGGAGGGCAGGCTGCCATTTACCTCACAATGGTAACAGAGGCCTGTGTGCTCAGGGGAGAGCAGGCCTCCGGCTGCCAGTGCGAAATCACTGACAGGAGCCAAAAGGACAAGGCTGAGTCCAGCTCTGCCACCAACCAGCAAGAGCCTTCCTGACTGGGCTTCAGTCCCTCACTGTGA